GGCAGTATTTTAAAGCTTCTTCCACACAGTTTGACCAGTAACCTGTGCTCATTTCACTACGCACTATGACACATGTTGGGGGACCGGGGCACTTGGGTGTTGATCACTTCAGCGTTTCCTCTGTCCTTCAATAAAGTCTCATTTAAAAGATTGCTCTTTGTTCATTTTTTTTTATTTGGGAAGTTCTGGACAGATCATCATTAGGTTGAGTGATGAATGTGGGGCACTTTACAGTGGAACCATAAATGCACTGTCATTATTTACCTGCATGGCATATAGAGGTATTTTTTGAGTGGGCGCTTATATAGTGGTTAAGGGAAAAACCAAGACAACCCACAGAATATTTCCTGCTGTCATATGCAGTTTCTTCTTATTTGTTCTTCATTTCTTGTAAGTATTTTACATTTTTTAAAGTGTAAATCCTATAACTAAAATAAGGTAATACAAACCAATCCATTAAGGTCAATTTACTGTCTACCCTGTCTCTACACAAAATAAAATCAACAGTTACTTTATTTATTAAAGGACATATTAGGTTCATTATATATATCAAGGTGTATATATATATATATATATATATATATATATATTGCAACAGATGTTTGAGTGTCTTTTTCTTTTCCTTTTTCCTACTCATTGTCATTGACTTGTGGGGAAAACCGGAGCACCCGGAGGAAACTCCATACAGAAATGCCAACTGACCCAGCCTAGGCTCGAACCAGCAACCTTCTTGCTGTGAGGCGAACGTGCTACTCACTGCGTCACCCTTTCTCGTGCTGGTTTTTTTCTGTGTTACATCTTACATTTTCAGGCTTAATACAGGCACAATAAACTCACCTGGGATCTCATTATCTGGAAGCATATTCTTTGCACAAATTGCAAACAATGGTAACAAGAGGGGTTTCCACCTTTTAAATAGTTCTGAGTCATTTTAAACCCCTGGGCAAATAGAATCGCGGGTTGTCTTGTGTCATCTTCCACACTTCTAATACGTGTAACTAACAGTCCTGGGTGTTCAAACACTAAAGTTGTAAACTTTAAATTCCTAAACCAAGAGTTCCATTCATATTTGCATATCTGTGGTGTCAGTGTCATGGATTGGATGAACACAGTGTGTTTTCTGTGCTTTCACAGAAAACACAAAACAAGATATTTTGAAGAAACCTGTAATTTGCTTCCATATTTGTTGTTTTCTTCTATTATGGAAGTTAACGGTTACAGGTTTTCAGCTTTCTTCAAAATATATATATATTTTTTTTGTGTGTTCAACAGAAGAAAGAAACTCATACTCAAGTTTTGGAATCACTTGAGGGTGAGTAAATAGAAACTATTTTAATAAATGACAAATACATGTTAAATGGCGTATTGTCGCCACCTATTGGTGTGATGATGTAATTGCTACAAGCAACTATAGAAGGTCAAATTGCTTTCAATGGTTTCTGATTTCAAACATTTGTTTATATCCAAACTGTCATATCCCAGTAGTTCTGTCATAATTTAATTGTTTGTTCAATGTTGTTCACAAAAATAATAATGAAAGTTAAAAAAAGAGCTAAAAAGACTCTTTATCACAGCGTTAATTCCAACCAACCATATTTCTGGATTTTGCAATATCAGCACTCAGCTTTATGAGCCGAACTAGCACTATGCGTACTGCTCATTTAGTAAATGTAATGTGCTTGGAATTTGTGCTTGAATGTAACTCATTTAAGTGCATAGATTCAGCAGTGAGCAAAGAAACACACATCTGAAACAGTAAGCAGCTATTTTGGGAATCAAACCTGCAACCTTTAGGCTATAAATAGGCTCACATGGAATCTGTGCCTACAGAATCCTGCAGATTTAGTAAATCATTCAGTCTATTTATGTAAATGTGCTATATGTGTGCGTGTGTGTACTTATGCAAATGTTTAGATGATTTGTGTATAATACAGTTTTAAAGTATTATTTTCTGTCTTTTAGATATAATATGTAAAACTCCACTAGTTTTCTATAACAAATAAGTGGTTCTGGTTGTATATTAATGGTTCTAACCTACAAAATGCTCCCCATGTTTGGTCAAACATCATCACAAAGACCAAACGTGGTCAACTGCAGGTCAGTCAGGACTAAATGTTGGTGGGAACATTAATATGTGAAGAACACAAGATTCCTGTAAAGACTTCAGTGACGGATGTCAAACTGCAAAGGTTTCTGTTCCAGAGTTGAGTTCCAACACACCAATGCTTCAACACACTAACCTGTAGGTTTCAAACAAGCCTGGAGGACACAATTAGTTTGCTCAGGTGTGTTTAATTAGGGTCAAAGCTAAACTCTTCAGGGTTGCCCTCTTGGAACTGAGTTTTCCATCCCTGCTGTAGACTTTGGCGACTGTAAACCTGCACAAGACAAATTTAAACCTGCACTTCCATCACAATGGAAACATCCTTCTCAAGGCCATGGACATCTTTAAGACTGCAGCCCTGAATCTTTTTCCATTTGGTCAGAGATCTGATCCCATGATCCTGCATGGTTTCTTTCAAGGTTTCTCAGTTTGTTTTCAATTGATGTTTTAGTTTTTAACTTGGCTTGAATTAATTTCCTTTTTTTGCCGACCCAAACATGCTGGTTGCTTGAACAATTCCGTTCTATAGCACGAGAAGCAGGTGTGTAAGAAGAATCTCTTTCATGTTTTGCATGTCTGTACCAGCGTGAGATGCTGGTTTGCTTGTGGACCAGCATATGTTATCCTATACAGTAGGTGCTGGTATTATCTCAGTAAAAACATTCATTTTCTTTTCAGCTAAGTCCCATTATTAATTTGGGGTTGCCACAGTGAAATGAACCACCACTTATCGAGGATATGTTTTACGCAGCGGATGCCCTTCCAGTAGCAACCCATCACTGGGAAACACCCCTACACTCCCATTTACACACATACACTAAGGGCAATTTAGCCTATACCCAATTCTACACCACATGTCTTTAAACTGGGGTGGAAACCAAAACACCTTCAGGGAAACCCACGAGAATAGGGGAGAACATGCAAGCCCACACATAAAAGCCAGCTGACCCAGCCGGGGCTCAAGCCATTGACCTTCTTGCTGTGAGGTGATTGTGCTACCCACTGCGCCACTGTGACGCCCCTACAACAACAAAAAAACATCACATAAATGTATGTTCATATTTAAATAAGGATCAATAATTTAGTCATTTGAATATGTTTATTAAACATATCATAAGGCAGGTTACAATTATTTTGGCACAGCAAAATCCTTTGTGTTAAATAAACACTGTTCAGTGTTCATGTGGTCTCAAAACATAAAGAGAAACTGTAAGTAACTGAAGCAGTTTTGCAACAAGCAGAATTAATGAAAGAAGCAGAGAAAAGACAAGCATAAAACCCAAATAACCGACTCACTAAAACATATTCAAGATCTCACCCGAGGATATATAAATAGCTCCAAAAACATCCCAAATGTTTAAGTATGTTTAAAGTTACTATTACAATAAGAAGTGTTCTAAACAATAGAATGATTGTGCTTCAGTTACCTGCATGTAGAGTCTAGATTTATCTCTAATTGAAAATCCCTTCTATTTGGCAAAAAGTTGGCTTGAAAGTTTCTTAAATATACCCCATCCTGATTTTTTGGAATGTGTTCATTCATTCATTTTCCTTTAGCGTAGTCTCTGATTTATCAGTGGTCACCACCACGTTATGAACTGCCAATCCCAAGCATATGTGTTTTGCAGCGGATGCCCTTCCAGCCTCAACACTGTACTTGGAAACACCCACACACTCTCACATTCACACACACACTCATACACTGTGGTTAAATTTAGTATATTCAATTGACCTGTAGCGCACGTCTTTGAACTGTGGGGGAAACCGGAGCACACGGAGGGAATGTGTTGCAATCATCAAAATAAAAACTGTTGATATTAACAAAAATTATGTATTTGATGACTAAAAACCTTGGAAATGTGTTCTTTGTATTTTGTTAAATAATTAAAGCTTAAAAAGAATAAACAAATCACATATTTTTGATTAAATTACAAAAAACTACAAAAATGTGGTTCTTTTCAAAATTTGGGTTGTACAATGCAACTATGTTTTAATATGAAATATAGAAATACTCAAGCAAACTCATTAATGGCATACAAACAACTGGTCCATTCACATCCAAGCATGCAAAATCATGTTGGGGAACCATTTAGCTTGAGAACAACATGACTCTCTGCTAGTCCCTTTGACCAACACAATAGCAGTACTCACCAGTCTACATCAGCATATGATTTGTGCAAAGCAGCACACGAAATATTCTCAAATTGTGATTCAAGTGTTCTTCAATAGTTTGATAGCAACAAGAGTAATTTACACTCCCCAACACAACTGTTGAGTTTGTCCATTTGATCCAGCTTTGAGGTAATACAAATATTCAACAAAAATGACTAAATAACAACATTTCAAAACCTTCAACTAAAATGAATGGATGCAATGTTATTTTTTTGCGATGTCTGTCCAGAAAATTTATTTGACCTTTGAATTAATAAACAATTACAGTATAAGCTTAATGGATGGACATGAACTTGCATATATAGATCTATAAAAAGATCTATATACTATAGGCTTTTTACCCAGAGGAATATTTGTAGTGCACATTTGGCAAGTGTACTTGTCGCTCTCAGAGGGTTGTAAACAGTTGGTCATGCCAGCTTTTAAACACTGATAATTGATTTATCATTTGGGGTCAGCATATATGTGTGCCTTTTGGCTTTCATGATAAGGACATTATCTTCAGTATCAACCATTCACTTCAAATTAATTGCTCTACTATATAAGAATAAGGGTTTCATTAAAATGGGCTTTAAACTGACTGAGAGAACATTCTATCTCTTTCTTTAAGTGTGCTTGCATGAGAAGCAGAAGTGTCTGTGGTTTTTTGTGTGTGTGTGCATCGGAGGTCTGATGGTCAACATCTGGTTTCGGTCTTGCAGACAGCTCCCACACTGGAAAGCCCCCGCTATATATACATTTCTTCTTTATTCTGTTTGTATGACATGCCCATATTAAGAGTGTCTTCCTTCTTCTGTATAACTTTTAAAGGTCAGCCCACTATGTATATATGTCCCTGCTCATCCTTATCATCAGACTTGCAGAATAAACCATTCTAACTACAGTTTGGTCTCTTCTCATGTCTCCGGGTCGACCTGCTGAACTTTGCTGAATCTGGTGCCTAATTTAGGGGAATCTTACACTGACCATTTTGGTAAGACATTTAATTTTGAGTAGGTTCATCTGATTCCATCATTGAAAAATGACAGTATATCCAACAGTATAAATAATGTCTACTTCTGAAGTTCTTTCCTATTTGATGCTTGACTCTTCTACTTTCACCTTTATTTATTTATTTATTTAGGTGTAGCAGTCTGGGCTGAACACCAGATTATATGAAAAGAGTATTCCTTTATTTACAAAAAACCTATGACTATTTCTCAAATAGTTTAACACATTAGATCACACAGTGCAAAATTTTACCCTTACTTAATGACAATCAATTCACCACTAACATGTTTTAACTGCAAGAGCCCACCACAAATGTGAGTTAAAGCAGGGGTTCCCAAACTTTTCAGCCCTGTGACCCCCAAAATAACAATGTCAGTGACTCAGGACCCCCATTTTTCAAGGTGGTTATACTGTAAATGTTGCACACACAAATATAGGCATATATAAGCATGAACATTTTGACAACACAAAAGTGCAGCAGCAATTTAATTTTTATAGTCATTAATTAATTAAATGTAATATTAATGTTTAAAAAAACAAAGACTGGTGGCTTTTTATTTGTATGTCGTTGTTGTTTCTTTACGTAACTATTAACTATCTTCTGTGGGTTATGAATAAAATATGATAATTCTAACAGTTTAATCAATTTATTTGAGTTTGGAAATCCCCAAGTGACCCCTCGTGCCTCTTCATTGTCTTGTGACCCCCACTTTGGGAACTACTGACTTAATGTACTTCTAATTGTCCTCTGCAGTCGTCTTCCATTCCCCATTTCATTAAATGTATACAAAAAAACAAATACAACCAACAATAGGAGCACATTAAAAAAAAAACAAGTCGACTTCCTGTTGATCCTTGTTGGTGTGTGATTCACATTACAGCTAGCTTATTGCAAAAATGCTTGTTCTTTTTAAAATTATTGCATCAAAGTATTTACAGTTGGTAGCCTTTATATAATTATCAAGGGAAATGAATGCTTTTAAGTAGCTACATCTATTCAGGACACCTATACAGGACAAATTTATTTGACCTAATTGCTTCTCATAACCTGGTATACTTTCGTATGTAATGTGACCACTTTTCTGTTGTTATGCAACAAACAAAACAGTTAAAGGTTAACATCACAGACTAATAAAGTGTGGCTTGTGAAATTGTAGGACATTTGACAATAATTGGATGTTAAATCAAAATGGTCATTTTTACCAGTTTACTTTTTTAAACTTAAAGAAAACAACTATGCAAAAAATTTAATGTTAACATTTGCAAAGTAGAAGGATGCTTCCACAGCAATTGAAGAATACCCTATCAATGAAAACACATACATGTATTATGTATAATGATAATTTAAAAAAAAGAATTTGGAACACGCAATTTATTAAGTTTCTTCCATGAATTCTTCTCTAAAGTCATTTAAGTGTTGCTGCGTGCTGCGTCACTTGTACACAGCTTGAAAGATGTAAACAACTTCAATGACAACTCATGCATTCTCTAATGTAAAAGAGAAGTAAAAAACTTGACTGACAATCTGCGTAGCGAATGAAATTATCGTTGCCTGTCAGTAAGCCAATGAAACGTTTTGGGGCGGAGCTAAACAGACACAACATAGAAGTAGCCGCGCTTCGACGATGTCTTGCTGCCTGGGCTTTTGTTTATAAGTGTGTCTACAGTCAAACAACCACGAGAAAAGACCACGGTAAGCACGAGGTCTTTGTTTGCAAGTTTTCAACAAGTTGTTTTAGTTACTTTAACAGAAATTTAGCGCAATTTGGTCAATTCTGACAAAACAAACAATTTCGGTAGAATTTTATTCACGGTCCTCTCTAACGTTACCTTTGTACCTATTTGTCCATACAACGTCAGCATAACACTAAATTATGTACGAGGTAACGTTACTAGTTAGTAATTACTAAACTAGAATAACGTAGACACCGTAATATTGTTGTTGCTATGCATACAGTGTCCTCGTTAACATTTTTTTGAATGCATCACAACACAATTCATAAGACCCTGTTTTGTTGCTTATTTCTCTGTGTGTGTGTGTGTTACTACTACTGTTACTGATGTAAATCTAACATAATCTGTAGAACCAATATTTATTTTTAATCTCATTTTCAATAAATGATTCAGTTATTCACTCATAAAACTTCATGTTTCATTGCTAAATGGGTTGTTTTTGAAGAATTATGCAGTGGCATATTTTGATTGCTGGACCTATTGGTTAAATAATGTAATTGCTGCCTACAATTTTAATTTAATTTGAGCATCAAGTTAAATGCATATGATTGTAATTGTAATCTTTAGGATAAATAATACTGGTTTTGTCTAAACTATAAACTGTTATCCCGGTAACTTTATAACTAACTCAAAAGATTAAGACTGAATCTCTCTGCGATTGTTACAAATTTAGGATTTATGAAGGATTTTAGGAAGTAATTATCTGTGGGTCACTTGTGTTCCAAACCGTGGGTTATAATATATATTTTACTATATATATATATATATATATATATATATATATATATATATATATATATATATATATATATATATATATATATATATATATATAAAAATTTTACACATAACAAATATATATATTTCTCTTTTTTTCTTTGCCAAACCTCAAACAGGCCATTTATAATCTACAGTGACCAGCGTTCTATATTTATATATATGGCCATTTAGTGGCCATAATTTAATGCATTTATTTAAGGTGTCTTTGTTGCAGTGAAATCTTACTATAATATTACTAAAAAAAATAACATGGTTATTGTAAATAAACCATGGTTACCAGAAATCAACCATGACTAACCATAGATTAGCAATGGTATTTGTAGTGAAAAATGTGGTTCTATAACAATTGGTTATCATTGCACCAAAAACTATAGTGATGTATTTGCATAATAAAACCTTGTATAATTTTCATAACAGATGCACTAAGGACTAAGAAATATTCCTCAGAAATCATGCTTTGAATGAAAATGCACTTAATGCATGTTTTTTTTTCCCAGCTGATCCTCAAAAGTCTTCTTGTCAGCATTGAAGATGTTTGCAAAAGCCACTAAGAACCTGCTCTCTGAGATAGACTCTGAAGGTTTCCTGATCCCAGTGTTGTGCCTGAATGACTCAGATGGTCTTAGTCCTCAGGCGCTGGTCATCAAGCGTAACCGATACTGGTTTTGGCAGCAACCCAAATACAAGCCAACAGACTTCAAACTGAGTGATGTTCTAGTTGGAGATCCCATAAATCCAGGTATAGTACATTACAATCATTCTTTACTGAAATCTATAATCCATGACTTTCAAAGACATACCACTATAAAACGTGTGTGTGTGTGTGCGTGTATGTGTGTGTGTATATATTTATATTTATATATATATATATATTTATATATATATATATATATATATATATATATATATATATATATATATATATATATATATATATATATATATATATATTAGCGCTGTCAAATTTAGTGCGTTAACGCATGCGATTAATTTGAAATAATTAACGCGTTAAAAAAATTAACGCAATTAACGCAGTTGCAGGTCTTTTTTATTTCCTGTTGTGGTGGACGTGTGTGTAACATGCAAGAAATGTGGATAAGTCCCAGGAAGCACTTTTTGAAGGCAAGTTTCAGTATAAAACAATTAGTTGCATCAGGTTATCCAGAGTTTTATGCAATTTCGGGTGTTTCATTTTTAACTTTCGACTTCTGTTGTAAGTCGATACCGCATGGCGAACAGGAAGAAAATCCTCCGCATTTCATGACTCGGTGTTGCTTTAAGGTAATAAAATCGGTGCTTAGGCTACACGGTAGAATTTTAATAAGAGTATTATCTTAATCATATTAAAATCGGAGTATTGGTGTCTTATGTGAATCTACTCATAAAGTCTCTGGTGAAGTCACAAGCTGTCAAAGACAGGGCATTACTCTGCCTTTCAGCATGAGCCCTCCAAGTTTCTTCATTAAATGCAACGAAAGCGTTTGCTTTGCGTTGTTGTGTCAGAATCCTTGTGAAATACAGTAATACTTTAAAACGCTTAGTTTAAGCAAATTCGATGAACGTGATCATGCATGTTGAATCTGAGGAGAGTCGCTCCAGTATGGAAGGCCGTTGGGGCGCGTTGTGTGTGCGTCTGTGTGTGTGTCTGTGTCAGGTCCGTTGAGGGATGTCAGGGGTGACGTAAGCGACGTATCTGAGTAGGAGCATGTGTGCGCAAGACGTACCTGAAGGACGGTGAGGGTGAGTTGCGCGCGACATAGGCTACCTGAACAGCTAGGAGGGATGCGAGGGAGAGGGGTGTGCAATGTATTTAACGACCGGTTTACGAGAAATTATCATTCATTTGCGGGCATTTGCGAGTCTCTGTGCACTTGCGGGATACTCCTAGTTTTAGCAACTGGATGAATGTAAAGGAGGATTAGGCAAAATTGTTTCTACTCTATAACTAATGTTTTCAACTCACAGCAATAAAACTACAATGAGTGCAACAGTTTGTATTCTATAGTTTTTTATTATAATTTTTCATTTTCCATATCTGCAATTCCTGTATTTTGGCATTTTTTTGCAGTCCACTTAGAATCCAACATGGAAATCAATGTTTTCTTTATTGGCATTGATTGTTTTGAAATTTAAATGTCATTAACATGCCTGTATTTTAATTTCTTTAATAAATATGGCTGTCAAGCCAGGATCTTGATGGTTTATTGTGGGTATGTTGTTTACATGAAGAAATCTGTGTTACAAGTTAAACAAAAATTCTATTAAACAATTATATTTTGAATTTTAATTCTAATAAACAATTATATTTAGAATTTAAATAGTTTTTGCCTTGCGTTTACATTAATTTTACATTTGAATAGCCAAAATTACAAGTTTCAGTATTTTAAATGCGTTTAATCGCGATAAAATTTTTTTAAAAAGGTGCGATTAATTAGTACATTTTTTTAATCGATTGACAGCACTAGTGTATATATATATATATATATATATGTGTGTGTGTGTGTGTGTGTGTGTGTGTGTGTGTGTGTGTGTGTGTGTGTGTGTGTGTGTGTGTGTGTGTATGTGTGTGTGTGTGTGTGTGTGTGTGTGTATATATATATATGTGTGTGTGTGTATATATATTAGGGATGTAATGGTATCAGAATTTCACGGTGCAGTAATACCTCGGTATGAATGGCACGGTACGGTATTTATTGAGTAATTTACTGGAAAAACAAAACGAATGAAAAGACTCGAAAAAAAGTGTATGACGCACACACACACACACACACACATCTATATGTGTGTGTGTCTAATGTATGTACATGTATGTATGTATTTGTAATTACACTTGTAATGATTAAGTTTATGTTTAGTATATTTATGCGCATTAAGTATTTTAGTCAATAAACTAGCTGACTAAATGCCATTTAAAGCCTAATATTATGAAATAGAGATTTGAAACATACTTTAAAATGACATTAGGAAGTGTCATAATTTAAAAATTCATTTAAAAGAAATATGTATATTAAAGCCCTTAATATGATAAATATGATAATATTAATATGATGATAAATTTACATTTTTGTCCACAGTTGTGGTTGAAACTGAATTTTTGACCTATAAAGGCAAAGTTATGGATACTAAAAGTGGAAGTGCTGTAGCAGAACTTGGGCCAGGGACCATTAATATAGGTGGCTCCGGATCCAGCAAACTGCAGTCATCATTTGGAAACTTAAAGAAACAGGAGCTGGATTTGCAGAAGCTCTTACATGATTCCAAATCCAGGTGGGTGACTAGCATGAGCATGAGGGCATGAAAATTTTACATCCTTAGACAGATAAGGGTGTTTACTGTTATAAATAAAATATTTATTTATTTTTAATTAAACTAAATACTAATATCATATTTCTGAGCAGCAAATCAGCTTATTAAAATGACTTTTGAAGGCATGTGATACTAAAAACTATGAGTAGTAGTAAGTAGAAAAGTTATCTTTCAGTTTTTGTCATATGGCCCAAAATATTACTTTACTACTAACATGTCATTGCCATTTTTAAGACTTAATCAGCCTGATAACACCAGCTGCTGCATGTAACTTTAACTTTTTTAATTTTAAGCCATTAATGCAGGTAAAAACAACAAAAAAAAAAGTCATGTGATACACTTTTTTGAAAAAGATTGGAGAGTAAAGCCACGTCACACTTGAATAACTGCTGTGATCGTGATTTTTGGTAGAGTTCTAGACATGCAGCACTCTCTGATCCAGCAGACACGGAACGCAAAGACGGAGGTGTTGGCGGTAGTGAAGGAACGAATCATTACCACTCAGCCCTGCACCATCACTGAGGAGGTTCAGGAAGGTGGTTCCTGCACTGGAATGTTTGGGTTCAATAAGACAATAAAGGTTGGCCTTTTTTTTTAACAAACTCTTGGGCGTATTATTCATTCAATGACATCCAAGTGGAAACTTAGTCTGATGTCTTGTATTTCTCCACAGGTTTCATCTAATGATAAAGGAAAGCCTTCAATTGCGTACGACACTGATGTGTCTATCGACATCCCCCCCAAAACCACCCTTGCTTACAGCGTGATTGAATTAGACATTGCTCACACAGGACACTATGGTATAGATGTTTTGCTAAAGCAAAATATTTTACATTTTTTTGAAAAACATTTAGATCCAATTTAGACAACCAAATAGTTTTGGTTGAGCTGCCAGATTAGATTTAAGAAAAGTAAATGGGACAGAATCTGAGTTAACTAAATTTAGCACAGAATCAAAGTTTGTTGTGCAAAAGTAAAACCTTTCATAAAATAAAATATCATGTGAAGGGTAACTGTTTTCTGTTTTGCCAGAACTGTGTCTGCTGCCAGCAGTCAAAGGTGGATTTGAAATTGATGGCCCAGTCAAGGTGAAACAAGCAGTCACAGTTAGTGCTGCACCAGGGAATCCAACCCACAACATGCAGAAAGGTAACAACACATGAATGTATAAATGTTTTCAATGACATTTTTTTTTACTTAGTTAAGTTATTTAAAGGCCTAATGTACGATTTTAATACAATTTAAAACAAAACAAGATCAAAATAAATCACTTTTGGACAACTTTCCAAAGCAAACCACCGTCAGTACTTTGTAATTGCAATGCATAGGCAGATGTGCACTGAGGATCTGATGATTTCCACATTATTTTTTCCTTTCAGTCAGATGTCAATGAATAAAACATAAACAGACACACAAAATAGTTCCTTTTACAGTAAAATTTGAAAATGTTATTAGAACTGTTTTTAAAACTGGAGCCTGCTTGCTTTAACCAAGTTACTATATAAATCTATTTGTAAATATGACTTAATTTAGAAACAGAAAATCCGCATATTAAATAGGGTATATTTAAGGTGGTAAAAAATTGCATGTATAACAATTTAGATATTAGATAAAGATACAACCAGAAGGTTATTGCAGAATAATTGCCTGACTCGAAGCAGTTAAAAACAGAGATGGGACAGACAAGCAAATATAAATGTGGATGCAAGTACTGTATATGGACGTGAATGAAGGCCTATTCACTGACAGCCATTTTAAGTTTGAAATTCTCAGATGAGCCTGTTATTCAGTAGTTGTTATCTCAAAATAACATACCTCACTACTCTCATAACTGTCTAGTGTTGGGCAGTGATATTGTATCAAAAAGTGACTCTACAAGCTTATAGTTAGTACTACTATAAATTACTACATTATGTAGTGTAATTCATTAATGAAGAGTTGTAAATATACAGTTGAAGTTCTGAATTATTAGCCCCCTGAATTATTAGCTCACATGTTGATTTTTTCCCCCAATTTCTGTTTAATGGTGGGAAGATTTTTTCACCACATTTCTAATGATAGTATTTAGTATTTTTAATAACTCATTTATAATAACTGATTTATTTTATCTTTGCCATGGTGAGAGCAAATAATATTTTACTAGATATTTTTCAAGATACTTCTATACAGCGTAAAGTGACATTTAAAGGCTTAATTAGGTTAACTAGGCAGGTTAGGTTAATTAGGCTAGTTATTGTATACTGATGGTTTGTTCTGTTGACTATTGAAAAAAAATTAGCTTAAAGGGGCTAACATTGCCCTTAAAATGGTGTTTAAAAAATAACTGTTTTTATTCTAGCCGAAATAAAATAAAACAAACAAGACTTTCTCCAGAAGTAAAAATATTATCAGACATACTGTGAAAATTTCCTTGGCCTGTTAAACAATTTGGGAAATATTTAAAAAAGAAAAAAATAATAATAATCAAAGGGGGGGCTAATAATTCTGACTTCAACTGTATATACAATAAAATGCTTATTCCTAGATATTTCCCGTTACTATAAATGACTACAGTATTTTAAATGTGAAACACCTGGTTTTATTCGATTTTCAGTTTTTGCTGTTTTGCTGAACAATTTTGCCTCATGTTTTATAGATCACCAAGATATGATTGACTTGGATTTAACTTGGTTTGATTTAAAACGGAAAATTGCTTGTATGTAGCTTAGCTACTTTTGCCAAATACCTTTTAGCTTAGCTTACATTTCCCTGAGATTAGCTTTTAGTGTAGTAGCTTGCCTAACACTGCGACTGCCCAATCAGTATTCTAGACAGCCGTTTAATAAACTTTATATTTATGCAGTAGTATGAAAAACAATTTTCCCCTTATTGATTATTATTATTTCTTTTTTTTTTTTGCATGTCTGTCACACTTTAATGTTTCAGATCACCAAACAAATTTAAATATTAGTCAAAGAGAACACAAGTAAACCCATCATGCAGTTTATGTGGATTAGTAAATGTGGATTAGTAAATGTCAAGTAAACGCATCCATTGTGTCACCATTGTATATCTTACAAGTCTTAATTAGGTCTTGTTGAAGGCTTGGTCATGTCAGTGGGACCCTTGAAGCTCAATGGATGACAAATAAAGAGAATGAATTGTTGTTGTGTAAGCTGTGTTTTTGGCACCTTGAGAAATGGCAGAGCAACACGAAGCATTTACAAGTCCTTTCTAAGAACTTGTAGTACAAATGTAAAGAAATGCATATATTTTGAAAGTGAAACACAAGCAAAAAAAATTGTATTAATTTACCAGTACTTGATGTAATGAAGTATATTCATAATGATAAGGAGTGATTATGAATAATAATAATAAATAAATGCATATAGAAAATACAACAGTTATAATTTTTCATTAAATTCAAAAATTTAATGAAAAAATCCCCCCCACCCCCTTTCTTTCTTCTCAGAACTTGTAGGACTCGAAGGCCAGTTTAAAGTTCTGTCTAAACTGCCGTCTAGCACACGCTTCTCGTTATTCCAGCAGATCTCTCTACTCCTGCAGAACAGCGCAGTCATTAGCATTTTGGGGAGCACAGTGAGTGAATCTTTCATCAGATTTTGAAGTCCATATTAAATATATTGATTCCCACATGAAACTTTTTTTTTTTTTTTTTTTTATCCTATTCCAGGGGTGTCCAAACTTGTTTCTAGAAAGCCACTGTCTGCAGAGTTTAGCTCTATCCCTAAATAAACATGCCCGAACCAGATAATAAAGGCTTTCAGAGTCACTAGAAACCTCTGTGTAAGTGTTTGTAGGACAGTGGCCTTCCAGGAATGGACACCTATTTGAAAGTCCTTTTATTTTTTTGCCCTGAGGTGAACAATTAATAAAAGTTCCTCATCAATTTTAATCGATCTAAAAGTTATAAAGAAATGTTTTAGTCATCATATTCAGCTTCAGTTGGAAATCTGTTCCAATACTAAAGAAATGTCACTAACTTCCAGTTCATAAATCATTATGAGCAAGAATTATTTTACAATATACAGGGGTTGGACAATGAAACCGAAACAGCTGGTTTTAAACACAATATTTAGTCTATTTGGGCTCCTTTCACAGACAAGATAGCATCAATTTGTTTTAGGAATGGCAGATACAAGTCCTGCACAGTGGCCAGAGGGATTTTAAGCCATTCTTCTTGCAGATTAATCGTCAGGTCACTACGTGATGCTGGTGGAGAAAAATGTTTCCTGACTCGCTCCTAAAATACCCAAAAGTGTCTCTATAAAATTTAGATCTGGTGAGTATGCAGGCCATGGGAGATGTTTAACTTCCCTTTCATGTTCATTAAACCACTCTCCCCAGTTGTGTGTATTGGTGCATTATCATCCTGATACACGGCACTGCCTTTAGAATGTAATGTTTGAACCATTGGGTGGACATGGTCCTCCAGAATGGTTCGGTAGTCCTTGGCAGAGACGTGCCCATATAGCACAAGTATTGGGCCTAAAGAATGTCATGATATTGCAGACCAAAGCATCACTGACTCACTCATCTGCTTCACTCTGGGCACACCGTAACTCTCCCGGATGTGGGAAAGATAGTAAAGGTGGACTCATCGGAGAACAATACATGTTCCACATTGTTGCTGGCAGCATTGAAACCGATGTTTGGCATTGGCATGAGTGACCAAATGTGTGCCTATAGGAGCCCAAGCATTTATATTAACCCTGTGGAGTTCCCAACAAACGTTTTGGTGGAAACGGTAGAGCTGAGATGCACATTTAATTCTGCAGTTGGGCAGCTGTGGTTTTACATATTTTGGATACAATTTAGTGTTAGCACACGGACATTCCTTTCAGACAGTTTATGCTAATTAAACCTTCACACTGTTCTTACTGCTGAATGTGCAATCAATTTGCAGGCTGACCTTCTTGCTGTGAGGAGACAGCACTACCTACTGCACCACTGCTTCACTATATATAATTATTATTATTATTATTACGCATACAAAACTGTCTATATTTAAAACCTTTCCTATAATATATATTGCTCTCTCACAGGACATCACTAGTCTCTCACAGACATAACTAGCCTATTATAGAACATCACTATGCTGTCACAGACATTACTAGTCTCTCATAGGACATCATTAAATTCTCACAGATATCACTAATTTCTCTTAAACATTGAGATACTATTTGCTAAGAGCAGTTTACTCTATTCAACGCTGAGCTGATGGATCAATTCCATCTGCAGTGTTGAACTGGTTGACCAGTGAGATTCCGCTCATCATCTGGCCCTCCAGTGCATTTGTTTTTTAGCAGAGAACCAGCATTTTTGTGGACTAGAACGAGTAAAATTGAAAATATTCTAGAAATTACACATGTGGAATGGCTAAATCTGAAACCCCTTTGGCCTTCATCTGGACAATCTACTGTTAGGGAGATTTAATAACTTTAAGAATGGCTCACCGTCTTTCACAGTAGAAAGTTAAGTTGTCAGATAAATAGGGTTTGTCAAATAAAAGTCAGTATCTGATCAACACCAGTATCTGGGATGTATTAACAGTAGTTCTGATTTTGATCAATCCTCGTTATCAGATATTTACTCTGCTTCAGAACATTTGTAACTTTGGAAATGCTGAAATGAAAAAAATTGCTCCTGGTAAAATATAAAATAAGGAGGAAAATGACTTTTTAGCATGAGAAGGTTCTATCTGCATTTGCCCTATTTTTTTTTTTTTTTACCCCAATTTGCAAATTTAGGAGAATTTTGATCATTTACATTTAGAGTACATTTAGGCTCTCTGTCACGTGAATGTATGAAAAAGAACCGTTACACACATATTGCTATATGGAATGCGAAAACTTTGAAGCTCAATATCTCAAACTCATTTAAAATGCAGATAGAACCTAATTCCAAGGCAAAAAATTATAGGAGCTTTTAAAATTTTGATCTCCACTGAATATTGCAGAAATAGCAAGTCAGAATTTTTAAGCAGCAATTGCTCTAGAATTCTCTTTTTAAAACTCCTTTATAAATATGGCAGTATTTTTTAAATGGCTTTTATGTAAAATGCTTTGTATTAGGGCTGTGCAATTAATCAAATCGCAATCGCGATTTGAAACATTACGAGTAGCTAAACGCAAGAGGCTGCGATATCAATATATGTTATGTAATTTCCTCCACCAAGAACCAATGCAAGACTGCTATCTGTGTGTGACAGTCTTACTAGCCAATTGAGTAGGTACACTTTTGATCTGCCGAATCAGAATTGAGCAACAAAACTATGCAGAATGCCCACAATAAAAACAACAAACATACATATAAACCAACAAACAAACAGGAAAGCACGGACAAGTGGGATGATGGCGTCTGCTGCTTCAAAAGCAATTCATTACTAATTATTTTCAACGAAAAACAGCATGACGGTAATATGGGAATATTTCAGTCCCAGACACCAAACAAAAACAAGTAATTTTCCAAGAGCTGTCGCAGAACTGTTGCCAGCATGAGGAAATACAACAACCAGCACCTAAAAAAGCACCACAGGTGGCTATATGAGTGTGACTGAGCTAAAGCTTTACTAAAAAATTTAATCGCAAATCAAATTGAAATCACAATATCTGTCCAAATAAATAAATAAATGAAATGATAAAATTTACTGTAGTTTATGAGTGTGTGTGTGGATGTTTCCCAGTGATGGGTTGCGGCTGGAAGGGCATCCGCTGCGTAAAACATTTGCTGGATAAGTTGGCGGTTCATTCCGCTGTGGTGACCCCAGATTAATAAAGGGATTTAGCCAAAAAGAAAATGAATAAATAAATCCCCAAATCGCACAGCACTATTTTGTAACATTGCATTAAACTGATCAATATTGGCAGCAAACACAATTTTTGCATAATCAAAGAACACAATTTGTTTAACTTCTTAATGTTTGTGTATAGTGAAAAATAAATGCGACTTTGGTCATGTTTGGACTTGTTTGTTTCTCTCACAGCTAGAGGACCTGTGTGGAGGGACACAGCCTGATCCCAGTACATTAGCCGAGGTGCCTGAACTGAAGGTTACACTGGAGCTCATACAGAAAAGTGCTGGTAAAAAACCCTCTGGACAACATCAGAAGCAAAGCACACTTACTGCCACACACCTGCTCATCAGTGCTCTAGACGGTGAGTTCAGTTAAATCAGAAGCTCTCGCACATTTTATGCATGTCCCTCTTATTAAACACTTTGACGGTGAGAAGTGTAAATAGTTGCATATTATGCCTACACTATACATATTAACGCACTAAATTGCCATTTAAATAAACATATAGAACATTACCTTAGACTGGAAGCAAGCATGGAACAACATGTAGAGTTCACTTTGCTGGCCACAAATGGTCAAATCACAACAAATGTCTGCATTGATGAGAGAATCCTTTATAATGTGCAGAGCTGTGGAGTGTGAGGACTGGAATTGAGAAACACAGATTAGTGACATTGAGGCCATATTATCAGCACATGAAGATAAGCAATAGTTTAACATTTTACTGAACCTTCATGTATGCATTGTTCATTGTCAGCAGCAAGGCCAGAATCAGTCTTTAATCTGAGTGTTGTTTGTTGTCACACACCTGCAGTCTTTTGACCTTTGTTCTCATAACATCATGTGTTCATGTAGAGATGAGTAAGCCAGCACTCTTCCTGCTCAAATCCTGCTGCAGTTACACAACCCTGCAAGCTCTGCTCCATCTTGTAAGTATTGAAGTAATACTGTAAGTACAGTACTAACATTTTAGGTCAGAAACAAGAAGCATTCCCACTTAATATTCAGTTATGATGTCAGTTTGTGTTAAAACAAATTGGTTCTGGTTTTTCCTGTGGTTTGAATCAAAAAGGCTTGTGGTTAACAGATTTATACTTAATGTGATTTTTGAAGAAAGTAAAAGGATGCTAAATAAGAATTAACAACATCTGGATGCAAGTTCACATGCTTTACAAGTATCAAATTAATGTTAATATTTGGTAACTGAGGTTTTAACACTGTGTCCAGATCCTGAAGCGCAAGTGTTTCAAAACTGAAGCATCAGCCAGGTCACGTGACTGAAGCGATTTAAAGCTGCCATCATTTAATAAGTGTTTCGAGACCTGTTGAATCAGTTTTTTTCTGACCCTGTCAGTCAAACGCAATCTCATGTGGCGTAGTGGACCGTGCATGTGCACAGAGTAACTGTGCTGCAAATAGCTCGAGTTCGAATTCCGATTTGTACAAATACTCTGAAATGATGACTCGGTGCATTTTAATATTGTTATGACCAAAACAAGACATATATTTATTCAAAACGTGTTTATTTGGATGGCAGACCAATATTAAAACAAACCGCATCTCAAGAACAGAACACTTGAAAACTAATAGGTAATGGCTGGCGATCAACGAGATTAGCCAAGCACAGGCAGGGCGGAGTTGCAGCAGTCATGATGACTGATGACAGTCATGATAACTGATGACATCACATGATTATTTATTTATTGCAGCAACAAAAGATTTACAGTACAAATAAAAACGAATACAAACTATAGTCTCTACAAACTATAGTTTACTTTTAAACAATAAGGAAATTAAATTTAAGTAGCCTATATAACAAATGCAAGAGAAATGAGAGTAAAACAAGAGGACGCATAATAGGAAAATTAATATCCGGGCCTATAATAAGTCTATTAAACACAACAATAGGCACACATTTTAGGAGTTGAAACATCAGTCTTTAGGCTACTAGATGCTGAATGGTATGTCAGTACTGTTCCAGTTTGAATATGCTACAAAGGCGTTTACATACATATTGGGGTGTCAGGATCAATGATGATAATAATTTTATTACAAGTCTGTGAGACTTATTTGAGTTAATATTTAGGTTATATATTTACTAAAATATATCATTTAAATCATTTTTGGAGCTGAATACAGCAGTCTGTATAAAAAAGGCTGAATAAACCTACAGTATGCACTATGCAAACAATCTAGTCATTATGAACAAATTATTTAACAAAAGATGATACTGCAGTAAAATATTTGTAGTCTTTTAATAGGCATGATGTGTACAAGATAGAGATGGTATAAAAAGTTAGTTGTTTGTTTTGAAATTTGTGACACTGAATTTGTCCAATAATAAACCTGAAACACATGTGGTTGTTGTCATGCGGTGAACTTGGCCAATGGTGTAATGTCGGTGTCGTCATCGCAGCTCCTGCAGTGGATCTTCAGATGCTGCACCGGCTCAGTTTGCCATCTGATCTCAGAGCAGTGTTGTGGTACTTTGATGCGACATGTGACAGTGACGTGGTGTCTACACAGCATCAATCCGGACAAAATTTCTAACCGGCATGCACCTTGGATTGGTCTGAACAGCACTGCATTAAGTCGAACACACCTAAAGTCTATAACTGCATCACGCTGGATTCGAACCCATTATCAGTAAATGACTTGAAACCTCAATTCAACATAAGGATGGCTGACGAGAAACTGAGGTTTTGACAATGTGTCAAGATCCCTAAGCGCAAGTGTTTTGAAACACTGCACCGAAGCATGATCTGTAACGGCCAGGTCATGTGACTACAGTGATTGAAAAAATCATTCATTTAAGAAGCTTTTCGAGACCTGGCGAATCTGGGATTGACTGACAGGGTCGGAAAACAATCTTTATCTTCTGTAACCTAGTGGACTGTGCGTGCGCACAGAGTAACTGTGCCAGCAGCAATTCGAACTTGGGCCATTTGCAGCACAAAGACATATTTATTTAAAGTGTTCAGTGGATGTTAGACCAATGTTAACAAAACACTTTACACGAACAGAGCATTTAAAAACTAATATTTATAACAACATTACTCTGGATTCGAACCCATGACCTCAGTATGCTAGTCTGGAACTCACCTTTTCACTAAATCACTTGAAAACTCAACTTTACAATGTTGGGTTTAATACCCTAATTTGCATAACTGTTTCTTTGCTGAAGCGGTTCCAGAGCAATACATAAAAAATGACCACTGGGTGTCACTGTAGAGACAGGTTTCGAAGCTTCTACACATTTGCTTCGACTGTTTCAGTGTTTCATGAAGCCTCGCTTTGCCCACCACTACTCTACAATGTGGGGTTTAATATCTCAATGTGTTCAACTATTTCTTTGCTGAAGCCGTTCCAGAGCAATACATAAACAGTCTAAGCAAATGTGTACAAGCACTCTACAGTAAAACTTAGAAGTCATTTTTGTGTTTCATGAAGTAACATATTTTTGTCCACAAATATAGGTCTCATGTCATGTTAACTGCAGGCCTTAATAAAAACATCATTGTAAAACTTTAAAGGGATAGCTCATCAGAAAAAAAGAAAATGTCATGCTAAACACCATGGGTCTCAAACTGCATTCCTTGAGGGCCGCAGCTCTGCATAGTTTTGCTCCAACTCTAATTAAACACAGCTGATGCAAATAATCACGTTTTCCAAGACTCTTTTAAACAACTTAATTATTTGGATCAGCTGTGTTTGATCAGGGTTGGAGCAAAACTGTGGCCCTCAAGGAAGCGAGTTTGAGACTTGTGCAATACTCACTCTTTTGAAGACTTGTGCGCTATACTCACTCGGTTTGAAGAAAGCTGAAAACTTGTAACCATTGACTTCTGTCATTTTTGCTTGTCCTTCTATGAAGGTCAGTGGTTACAGATTTCTTCAAAATTTCTTGGTTTATTAAAATTTTATTTTTGTGTGAACTATCCCTTAAGCAACGTCCTGAAGGAGATTAACATGGCTTCAACATATTAATGTTTACCAGCTTGTAGAAGCACAAACTGAGCTGTGATGTGTTTATTGTTCTGCAGGTGCAGAATATGGCTTTAAATGAGAAATCCTCTCTGAAAGACGCTGCTCTGGATGTTTTAGCCGATGAGGTGGTTTTCAAAAACATTACATCACTCTTTAATTCCTGCAACGTGATGCTGCTCAAGGATGACAATTCACTTATTACAAAAATCAGCAACCCAGAAGATCGTCTTCCCCTCATGTTGTGCATTGCAGTCAAGGGTTTGGCTTCTCTTGCACCCCATGTTTGATAATCTGTTGTAACTTATGAAGACCAAAGGCCCCAAGAAGTTTCTCACTGCAGCCTGCAGTGGACATCCATCCCCACCAACATCCAAGTGTAAGCCACTGCTGCCTCACTGTAGACTACAGCATGATGACAAACTAGAACAAGTCCAATATGTAATGGACATGTATTTGTGATGGGTTGTAGCTAGAAATAAGAATTATTTGTATTTATAAAATTACCCATTACAATGTGTGCTGTTATGCCTACACCTACCCCAAAGTTAAATTCAACCCTAACAGTTAAGCATGCGCATTACAATGCCCAATGTGACACTTGGATGAGTGCAGGGTTGCATGTCTACTGCTTGCTGCAGCGAGACCTACTTGAAGGTCCCCAAAGCCTGCAGGTGGACAATCTACAAACTGGGAAAGAAACAATAACAATCAAGCCCTACATTGCCTTAAAGCCCGAGTAATACTTTTGCCTTGCGACGCATCGTGCACCTCCGCTGACTGCTCATGCGCCTCACGAAACAGACGAGGCTTTTATACTTGACGCGTTTGCCGTTGTGATATTTTTTTAAATGACAGGGGGCAGTCAAAAGAAACCCACTGTAAAATCAGACAGATAACCATAAAAGTAGGAAGTTTCTGGAACTACGTCATATTATTATCATCATTCCAGATTTTTTAAGCACTTCTTTAATAAAGTATTTGAATGATTGATTTATAAATATTTCACCATTTAAGATTTTTTTTTTAAATCGAACTGATGCATCACATGCTTTGGTTTATATCTCAGACAGTTTTGCCTATTAAAGTTTATTAAAATATTACTGACAATTTTTATCCAAGAATTATTGGTCATTTGATTATCCATATGATTACACATGGACGGATCATAAAGATATGTGTACAGGCGAACCTGTTTCAGACAAAATCTCTTTAAAATTATTCATTATTCAACTCAAATGAAATGCGGAACTTTGCTCAACTCTCAAAAAAATGTCATGCGCTTCACCAGCCGAAATCTTGTCAAGCGCACTCAAAGCAAACCTCTGCAAACACAGCGACATCACATTCACCATGTGCAGCCAAAGTAAAACTGACTTCCGGGTCCAAGCGCTCCATCAAACTATGGAGACTCAACAAATAGTAATAATAAATGTTTACAAAGCAATGTAATGCTTTTGAAAATCACATACAAATAATGTCATACCTTATAGCCTATGGCCAGTAAGTGATTGACTTTTTTTATAAATTGTTGTCTAACAAAGTATTGGTTGTCTATGATGCAGCAAGTGCAGAGACGGTTTTGTACACCAGAAATTTATATAAAATTCACTTTAATGTGTGATATTAACGTTTGGTCATAAACGAAAATTCTCTAGTAGCGTCTTGGACCCGGAAACAGAATTTCATACGTCAACGACAGATCATGACTTAACATGACTTAACAAGCGGATACCCATGGCGCAGCCTTCGTGCGGTCGCAAAAAAAAGGTAACTATATGTCGTTGATTGGTCAGCTTGGTACCTCTAACCTGTGTGGGCGGGAAGTTTTAGCTACTTGTACATTTTAGACAGTGTTCAGAAAAGACAAAACACCTGAGAAGAAACTCAACAAAGAGGAACACAACCTGCTGCCAGCTAACGTTTTGAAAGTGTTATTGCAGAACACAAACAGCGCGCAGAAGTAGAAATTCACAGAAACGCGCAAGGCTTGCACAGTCGGACACGTCGACCCCTCAAATCAGAATTATAAACAAGGTTTTAGTCATTCCTAACATCACCACTGAAATTAAACTGCCTTTAAATAGTGCTGATTGTTGTATATATTTAAGTTTTTCAAACCTTTTAATATATTGTATTGTTAAACATTGCACAATAAATTGTTGACTTTATATGTGGGCTGTTTTCGTAAACCTTCAAAGACTAAACTCTTAAACCACATAAGAAAAGAACTTTTGAACAGTGATTCAAAATTAAGATTAATTTATTAGACAGCGGTTTCATTTCAGAAAATACAACTCTCTGTATTGCAAAATATAGAATTTTCAAGTGAATACGCAAGCCTTGAAAAACACACTGGAGCAAGTCGCCAGAGACAGATCAGTACATCCCTACATACAACCAAGAAGACTAGTAGTGAGGCCAGGAAGGCTGTGATCATGACACACTTGGTCTATAGTTCGTGTTCAAAGGTCAGTCTGTGCCAGCTTTAATAAATCTTAGCAAAATACAGCGCTGGTTCTGGATACTGTGACATACAAGCAACACAATGACTGAGCTCACAACTCTGTGACTTTAAAACCGTGACATTTGTTGCACTTCATTTTCAGTACATGTACTTGCAATATACTTACTCAAGCTAATTAAGAATTTTTTAAAAATACAAGATCAGCTGGACACAGAACACATTTTTGCTTCATTTGACACTCAGTTCATTAGTTTGGAATTATAAGGTTGTTATGAGCATTCTGAGATGATATGTTTTACAGCTTTTACATTCCATAAAACTACAATTTATATGGAGATTAAGTTCTTTCTATTAAAAGCCGTATTGTACAAAAAAAAAAAAAGTTAATACACCAAATAAAAAACTTCTAATTAAAATGTGATGAATATTATCCAACTAGAGATGTGTTTTAAATGGAAAATGGTGTTTCCAAGTGCTGCATCAAAGTAAATCATCCTTATTCACTATTCCCTATGTGAGTTCACTAATATGGTCCAGTGAATGAAATCCAGTGAGTAAACTGTAGCACTGAGTGCAGAGAAAGGGATGCATTTTGTTTGTGCTTTGCTGCAATACCTCAGATTGGTCATCTTGCTTTCCTAACTACACCAACATTAAATTTACCATTTAAATCATTTATTTAAAAACTTTCTCTGATAGGATTCTAATGTGGAAGCTATGGCAAAAAAATCATTCAATGCAACAACTCTGCATCATGAGTGTTCTCTGTTGGCTGTACATCAGTGGTACAATCATAATGACTGTAATGCAGCAAGGATATGGGGTCAATTTTGGATACAGGCAAGGTAGAGGCGTTTTCAATTTAACCTTTAAGTACAATTGTGTTATTGTCATTATATATATATATATATATATATATATATATATATATATATATATATATATATATATATATATATATATATATATATGGTGATTCAAAAAGAATAACAGAACTTTGAAAATTAGGAACTCTGCAAAGAAAAGGTGAGCTAAGTTTTTTCTGTTGTCGATTTAAGGAAGCTCTGATGTTTCACATTGAGGAACTACAAGGATAAATGCAGCTATCCAAGCTGTTACGCCCGAGGAGCTACAGAGAGTGTGGAACAAGTATCGGGTTCATGTCACTCGAATGTCATGAGGGGTCATATTAAACATCTATGAACTTGTTTTCTACTGAAAAAAAAATTTTAAGTACTCCTTACATTGATAAATTACCTGAAGTTCCATCATGTTTCTTTGATTTAATACAGATTTTCCAAAAGTTGTGGTTATTTTTAATCACCCTGCATATATACAGTAAAAGTCAGAATTATTAGCCCAACTGAATCAGTAGCCCCCCTCCTTATATATTTCCCCCGATTTCTGTTTAACGAAGAGTTTTTTTTAACACATTTCTAAACATAATAGTTTATGTTAGTTAACTTATTTCTAATAACTGATTTATTTTATCTTTGTCACAATGACAGTAAATAATATTTTACTAGATATTTTTCAAGACACATCTATACAGCTTAAAGTGACATTTAAAGGGTAACTAGGTTAATTAGGTTAACTAGGCAGGTTTGGGTAATTGGGCAAGTTACTGTATAATAATGGTTTGTTTTGTAGACTATCGAAAAAATATATATAGCTTAAAGGGGCAAATAAGTTTGACTTTAAAATGGTTTAAAAAAAAAAACTGCTTTTATTCTAGTCTAAATAAAACAAACTTTATCCAGAAGAAAAAAATATTATCAGACATACTGTGAACATTTCCTTGCTCTGTTAAACATCATTTGAAAAATAGAAGAAAAAAAAATAAAAGGGGGGCTAATAATTCTGACGTCAACTGTGTGTGTGTGTGTGTGTGTGTGTGTGTGTGTGTTTATAAAATGACCTTTATTTATATGTTGCCAAGTTTGTTGTACAAGTGTCTTAGCTTGATTAGGCCCGATTCATTTAGAATTTAATCTAGTAAATGTGGGTTATTACAATAAATGTCTAAAATCCTGGAATTAGCCGTTGTAGTGTTGCTGAAATGTAACTGTTGTAGTTGTTAAAAATCCATCTAAATTTTTTACTAAAATCACTTGCTTATGTCATATTAATTAACTATAACCCTGCTAAAAACTGCCTAAACTAGCCTTAGATGGTTGGCTGGTTTTAGTTGGTTGGCCAACCGGGTTTCAGAGGGGTTTTGGCCATTTCCAGCCAGGTCTTAGCTAAAACCAGCTTGACCAGCCTAGCCAGGCTGGGAGCAAAGCCAACACCAGCTACACTCAGCTTAAATCAGGCTGGTCATTTTCTATCCTGACCAGCTAAGACCAGGCTGGAAATGGCCAAAACCCCTCTAAAACCAGGCTGGTCAACCAGCTAAAACCAGTTAACCAACTTAGGCTGGTAACTTATCTTGTAAATACATATATATAAAAATGATTGTATGTAGGTTTATCTTTGACGTTTTTTAAACCTTCATCATACAGTGAACACTTTTGGACTAAAGATATCTTTCGGTTTTGTTTTTATCCCAGTAAACACACTTGATAATGCCAGCCCGCATATTATGAAATCAGAAATTACAATATTGCTAATAAACATCACACATCCAATTCAAGCACCGCTGTTTTTGTTTGTTTTTTGGACACTATCACATACTGAGAAATATATATAGATCAAGCTGTTAAAATACAATGCAGTGAAAAGCAAAATATGTTCACTGGGCCACTGTTCACAGTCTTTAAAAATAATAATAAATCAATCAATGCAATTTCAAACATCTCAACTTTAACAGGGTCCATAGACATTTGATTCCTCATAACTGGAGGGAGGAAATAGATTAAATTTAAATTTTGTTAAGAATGTTTTCAACGGAGTTTACTTTAAGCCTATGTGCACAGATTAACACAAAGCCTTTTAAAGTACACTTAGGTTCAGGCTTAGTACCTAATTATTACAGTAAGTACATTGCACATACATGTAGAACAGAGCTGTAAAATAAAGTGCTATCATGTTCACTTCAAACTAATGTATGTCAAGCTTTTCTTAAATCCAAACTAACATTGACACGAATAAAGATTTAGAAGTCATCTAAACTATAAAGCTGCTCAAATTCTGACCTACTCTAGTAACCCATCGATATGAGCACCAATTTTAGAAAGATGATGAGATGATTTCTGCACTGTAAACCAACATTTGTAACAAATAAAAAGACAGGAACAGGAAAACAGAGCCTGCTATAAATACTGTAATGCAGCTTATACATTTCAATGGAAAAATAATTCATGACAAGTTTTTTCAAAATATTCCTATGTGTTTCCGTCCCTCAGAGTAACATTCTTCTCAGTATGTTTAGTCAGTAGAATAATGATAATAAAAAAAACAAGAGTTAATAAATAAGTACACTTCCCTTATGTCAAGCGTGACAGGATGGCTAGTGTACATTTGCATAGGGATTGATGGGTAACTTGTGTTCTGTGCCGCTGACCTATCAGTGGTGCCTCCGCTGATGATGATGGCGATGAAGTTTGTCTCAGTAAACCCAGTTGACAGGTACCCACTGTGGTTGTGTGGTCAGCTGCTCCACAGCTGCCTGCAGTTTCTCAAAGGCCTTGTCCAGATTGTCATTAACTATAGTCAGATCAAAGTAGTGATTGTACGCCCGCTTGATCCGGGCACTTTCATCCACTGTTTTCTTTAAGTCCGTTTCCTAGAAGACAGGAAGGGATGATGAGTCTATACAACAGCTTTGGTTTCCCTGATATTTATCATGCTTTACAATGATGGACTCCTTTAGCAGAGTACTTGACTTGGTTTATGACTTTAAATTTGCATCAAAATGTTTATTTTCATTTTAAAACAGAACATCATGTGCATGTTGACACATCTCTAGATTGTGTTTTCTTACCTTTTTTATTGCATTACAAAACTGGTTAAAGGGTTATTTTACAAAGCGCACATTTTCATGCCCTCGAGTGGTTCCAAACTTTGAATTTTTTTTTTTAATAATGTCAGAAATCAGTAACCACTGACATCCAACATTCTTCAAAACATCTTTTTTTGTGCATTTTCATGAAAAAAACTCAGAGGCGAGTAAATTATAAGGGTACAAAAACTCCCCTTTAAAAGTGCTGAGTGTGTTATCCCCAATCTCTTTTGACCAATTTACTTCATCTTGTGGTATTTTCCTTCCTCTTTTGCTATTTATAGCAATGCTAATCTTGGCAAAGACTACAGAAAACACAAGACGTGTCACTCTTACAGTTCTGAATGAGGAAAAGTAATATAAAGGGGATGAAGCCCTGCCTTCTAGTACAGGAGCCAATCAGCAATCGCTACAGACTGACATTTCTCTGGGGGGGAAAGCTGAGACCAGATGTGCGCTTTTACAACATTTTGTTGGTCAACAAATGCACTGGAATCTCAGTGAATACTTGCTTCACAGACATAAGAAATATATCCACATAAAGCTTAAAAGCTCTACTTTTAAATGAACTAAATGCCCTTGTAAAAAAAGTTTGTTGGTTGGTTTCGACACAAACTACCCAAACGCCCACAAACCTGTCAACAAAGTTGCTTTCATTTCTGGAGAAGATTCACCATCAAGACCAAGTAGTGGATTACTTCAGAAGAGCAGCATGATCTGATGAAGCATTATTTAGATGATGATCATGTGTAGAAAGGCCATGCATGAGGTTAGTGTTGTGATCTCGTTCTTTTCAAGTGTGCATGTACATTAGCTTGTTCAACCTGAAAATATGCTGATTTTGTTTGATTCGAATGATTAGAAACAAAACTTGTTTAATTTTTTTGGTGATTCCAAATATGTAATGCAAGCTTGGGAAACAGTCTTGGAGAATTTGATGTTTCCCCATTTAGACAGAATGCCCGAGAAAACTGGCATTTTAAAGATGGCCGCTGAATAAAATGACTTGTCTTTAAGGGACTTTGGTCTTGTGTAGCCAGACTTTCAATCTGACAGACTTTTACATAAGCCAAATCACAGATGGTTCTGTTCAGCATCATAATTCAAAGATGCATTGATGTATGGTCAACATCCCTGCTGTACCACACAGGGGTGCGCGCGTGCGTGTGTGTGTGTGTGTGTGTGTGTATATGTGTGAGTGTGTTTTCATTTAAACTCAGAACCTCACGCAAAACTACTGGAATTCTTTTAAACAGCCTATGCTGTGAATATTACATTAGATTTAACAATTTTTTTATTAATTTAAGTTAAAGAACCTAACACTTCTTTTAAAAATCAGGTTACATTAGTATGACTGAATTGTTTCACATATTATGCGTCTTATACAAAGTAATGTAACAATGAACCACAATTCGGTTGAAAATCGATTCACTATTTGAGTATTTAAATCATTTAAGGTGCCAAACAAAAAAGACTGAATCTCTTAGAAGGACTGACAGTCTTTAGAAGAGTTTATGTAATATTGTTTGCATTTGGTGTTTGCTTTTAAATTTTAAGATTATACAGTCTAATTTGGATTAAAACTGCTCAATCTGCAAGTACACTACATCTTTGTTTGGATAATGATTAAAGGCAGTGTTTGCATCTAAATGGAAAGAGCAAAGGATCCATTTGTTTCTATGAAGAGATTGATTAAATAATAACTTGTATGAATTAGCATTTATGCAATATATTATTTTTTTTACACAGAAAGTGCAGCAATGGCCTACTAAAGTACTTGAATAATTGAAAGTAAATAAAAAAGTAAGTAAAAAAGAAAAAGGTGAGTAAATCAAATCGTGAATGAATCAAATGAGCTCAATGAATCCATTAATCCCGACTTAATGTCCGAGGACAAGACTATAGAAGAAGATTTCTATAGACTGTGGTTTTAGATCTCTGCTATGGATCTTTACACATGTATGACAAATTCTGGGAACATTGGCAGGAGTGTAAAATGTTTAGGTTAAGGGCTGCTTCTCATAAAATCTTACATTGTTGCTAACTACAATATAATTTACAGCACAGTTGTCAAACTCAGTTCCTGGAGGGCCACAGCTCTGCACAGTTTAGTTCCAACCCCAATTAAACAGTCTGGTTTGAAACCTACAGGTAAGTGTATTGGAATAGAGTAGGAACTAAACTCTGCAGGGCTGCGGCTTTCCAGGAGTTTAACACCCCGGAGTTACAACAAAACTGGGAAACAGAATTTTTTAAAAGAAGCAAGATTGTTTTTACAGGTTTGCAAAATTGACAAATTGTCCTGAGTGAGGGAATATTAATCAAACTGGCCAATTAATTTATAAACAAAAGCAACTGGCTCTCTTTATGAATGGATTCCTGAATCAATGACTCAACAAATCCATTTAAAAAAAGATCAACGCAGTATTTCATTCCTAAATAAATGAGATGCACAACTTTTTGCTTTGTAGAAAGCTAAGGACTTTGTTTGAAAGTATGTTTTGATGATGAAAGAAGAAATTGCACTCATACTGGTGTAATAATTAGCTATAAAAATTAAAATCACATAAATATAGAAGCAATTCATACAATGCATTGTAGAAATTCTAGAATCATTCCTACTGCATCATAATAGGCTTCACACTACAGTGAATGCTTGTGATCAAAGTGATCTTTTAGTAAATTTATGTTTTCTGTGCTAAGCTTTTAGTTGCATCCCAAAATATAATACTACTGTAAATGTATAAGCTAATTATTTATTTATACTCTATACTATTGTTTGAATCATACCTCAGGCCAGATTAGACACCTCTGCTCTTTAGAAAAGGTGAACCCGATATCTTACTTTCAGAACTGTATTTCTACACTCTTTACAGCATAACTGCAACTGACCGTCAGTAATTTGGTTGTGATCCCAGCATCCACCACAGCTTTGTGCATGGCCCGTAATGTGTCAAGCTCTGGGGCCGCGATGAAAACCACAAACGGCATAAACTCTGATGTCTTCAGTACCTTCAGCGCCTGTAGAATACATTTTTTAAATATAAAACACCACAGCCTGGCAGTATTTGCTGGTAAAAACAGCAAAAAAGGATGATCTGCATTTTTTACAAACCAACTGCATGCATTTTCACTAAACTAATGATTAAATTACAAACTAGTAGTTGTTCAAATAACATTAAACTTAAGTATATAATTAAGTACACATTAATATATTGTACAGAAACCCTATGTTTTAAAAAGCATAGCAATGTAGTCCATTGCATTATTATATTCCTTTTTATTATTATTTTTAATAAACTTGCATTATAAAACTGACACAAGAATAGTTAAATGGCTCAATATATCAACAAAACAGCCCTCAAAGGACTCAAACTAAAGTATAAGATAGAATGTTGGGCACAATACTTCAAAAAGTTACTAGTTATTTCTCTTACAAATAGTAACAGAGTTAGTAACTGAAATGCATTAACCAAGGAAAGTATCTACTGCGTTACTCGCATGTCAAAGTACAATCTGCATCTTGAATAAAATGGACACTAAATTAAATAAATTAGTCTTATAAAACATTCTGCACTATTCTATAATACATTAATGTTGCATAAGAGACATCTATCAAATGTAATATTTTATTGTAAATATTATCATTTCTATGAATTCTATGATTAGAAGTACTTTTAAAATATACTGACATGACTTGTTTTGCTATGACCCCTTTGAAAGCGACAACTGTGTTTGTAGGCCGTTCATACTTTTTTCTATGTGGTTTTACTGTTCGTCCACACAAAAAACAGAGTATCGCGTTTCTGAACTTTTTGTAAACTTTTTGTAAAAGATTTTCTAAATCTCAGGGCACAGCGTGGTCATTTGGACACTACAGCAGGAGTTTTTGCCTCATGAAGTCATCGTGTGACTTTGTGAGTTTGCTACAAGCCCAGAACTATTGAATTAAAAATAAAATAATAAATTAATTAAACATTTTTAAATCAGGGCTCAACATTAATCCTTGCTCTAACCTGACTGAACAAAGCATTTTTTTTTTCAACAATATGTTTCAAGATGGTAAAAAATAGGTAGGTAGAAATACTGGTATGTATGGTACTGCAGGAAAATAGCTTCCAGTCCATTGCCTTTTCAATCTCATGATAAATATGCAGGTTAAATGTTGTAATGTAATGCAATGTGTTATTTATATAGCGCATTTATAGTGTATGGCCACACACTCAAAGAGCTTTACAATCATAAGAGGGATCTTTCCACACCATCACCAGTATGCAGCATCCACTTGGATGATGCGACGGCAGCCACAGGACAACGGCACCAGTGCTCTCACCACACACCAGCTCTAGGGGGAGTGGAGTGGCAGTGATGGAGCCAATTCAGTGGCTCTATGGGGATGATTGAAAGGACATGATCTGTAGGGGCCGATAAGGAGAATTTGGGTTACAGCCCTGCTCTTTTACAAGAAGTGCCATGGGATTTGTAATGACCACAGAGAGTCAGGATCTTGGTTTATCATGTCATCTGAAAGACGGCACTCACTGACAGTATGGTGTCCCCTTTACTATACTCGGGCATTAGGACCCACACAGAGTGCAGGTTGAGCGCCCATCCCTGCCTCACTAACACTACAACAGCAACCTAGTTTTCTCATGTGGTCCCCTATCCTAGTACTGACCAGGCTCAGCCCTGCTTAGCTTCAGTGAGTAACCGGTCTTTAGGACCAAAAGTTTGGGAATTCCTGGATAAGTTGATGAAATTTGAAAATATAAAGTTGCAAGTATATTCACACCAACTGCTAATATGTCAAAACTATGATAATATACTCTAGATGTGTATAGAAAATGTGCATTTTGGTTTTTACCCTCAAAAATCACTAACCTGAGGGTTGACGTCTAGGATGCAAGTCCGTCCTGCACGAACAACTTCATGGATCGAGTCCATTTTGGTTCCATACAGATTTCCGTCATACTCTCCATGCTCAAGGTATCGACTTGCCTTGATGTCCATCTCCATCTCTTCCCGTGATACAAAGCAGTACGACTGGCCATCCTTTTCATCATCACGGGGACGTCGAGACGTGACTGAGAAACAGATGCAATTCTCCAGTTATATTGGTAAAATGGCAAATGTGAAAACAAGCTTTTATTTGGGTTAACTGTGTAATGAGTTGATGTTATAAGCATTTGTTACTCATCGACTCACAGGGTACAGTAGTTCCATATCTCAATGGGTTTAACACAATCAGTCGGTTCTTGAGGCTTCGACGGCCCACACCCTGAGCACCAATCAGAACAAGAGTTTTTCTCTGGAATGGAGGCATCTTTGCTACTTCTTCGTAGATCTGCAATTCATGCCGATCAAATTCTATTAAAAAGAGAGACGTTAAGTTACATTTTATTGTGATACTATCATTCAAACTAATTGTACCCAAACAGTGATATTTTAAAATACTACAACTTTAAATGCCTATTTATATATACTTTATAAATAGTAATTTATTCCAGTGATGGCAAAACTGAAGCTAAAGTCACTCAGAAATCATCTTTTTTTTGGTGACCTGATAAAACAAACAAACACTTATTTATGCACCAAATAAGCGATACAATAATTTCATAGATTGATGTTATCCTGATGTTTTCATAGATATACGTTCTCCTTCAGTACGCTTAACCCTTGTGTGCTGTTGGGGATGTTTTCATCCACTCGGGGGTGACCGAGTTCACAAGTTTCTCTGTGTTCCAACAAATGGAACGATTTTTGGTGACAACCAAATTTCGACACCTATTTTGGGAAAACGCTTTGACCACAAAACACTCTGGACAAATTCAACAGTATAATGATCAACGGTAAAAATGACAATTTTGACCCCTCTCCTAACAGGAAAAACCAGCAACAATCAAGAATGCACACTTATATCACAAACATATAAAATTATGACCCAAGAATAGTTCATAGTATTATATAAACACAACAGCCCTCAAAATTTTGAAAGGGCTTAAACTTAAATATAAAAGCCCTCAGAGTGTAGGGCACATTACTTGGTTACCAGTTACTTCTCTCAGAAATAGTAACCGAGTTGGTAACTGAATTACATCATAAAAAAAGCAATTAACTACAAAAGAAAGTAACCAATGCATTACTTTAAAAGAAAATAAATGTCAAAAGTCCAAAGTGTATGTTCAATAAAACACACTAAAACAAATTAATTATTATAAAACATTATACACTATTGTATAATATATTAATATTGCGGTGGGACAGTGTAAGAGATATGAAAATATGTCTATTTTTTGTAAATATTAAAAAATTTCTATGAATTCCATTAAATAGGGAAAACATGATTGTAGTACTCGTGCATGATTATATGGCGTTTTGTTTTTGCGATCAAACAATGTCATTATAATAGAAATCAAAAGGAAAAAGCGAACATAACGAAGGGGTAGTACATTTAAATAGAATACAAGGTAATGTTAAAAATAACATAAAAATAAATAAAAATCATCTGTAACATTACACAAGTCTGTCACTTTATCAATTTAATCTGACCTGAATTAAATGTGCACTAGGTGATCTATCCGTTAGCATAATATCTTTGAATCACATCTCCCTCCCTTGTCGTCCAAAGCCATGCCTCCTGAAATTCTGAACGCACACCATAAAGATGATGGTAGAAAACCACTAGATTATGTCATTCGCCAGTTAGAAAACTTTACAGTACTTTATAACACCACAGTTCCGAACAAAAAACTGTATCATATCCAGCAAGTTTTCAGTTGTTTAACAAGCAAAACTTGTCTTAATGTGCAATATTTCATGCATGCAAGGATCGCTGGTCTCATTCTTTCATGTTCGGTCCTAAAGTGACTACTGTATGCCCAGTGGTTGGCCAGCGGTGCACAAGAATTACACTTATTACTAGATCATACTTACATGCTACTTCAGACCAAATGTTCAAAAAAGCGCTCCTCACCAAGGTTATTATAGTTAACTAAAACTAAGGAAAAAACAAAAACTAAAATGTAAAATAATTGTCGTTAACTGAAATAAAAATAAAAAGCTTTTTCAAAAAATAGACCTAACTGAAACTGTATTGTGTACATACAAAACTAACTGAAACTAACTAGAATTGTAGCAAAAACCTCCTTCGTTTTCGTATTTGTAACTGTATGTAATGCATAATCCTACTGTAAGCCTTTTAGAAGTAAATATAATCCGCGCGCAGGTGTTTGTGTTTGACCCTTTCGCACCTCAGAGTCTCCTGCCGCCATTGGCCAGATCAAGCCGGCTCTCCTCGAGTCATCCTTTCTGTTGCTCCCGCGACAAAAACAACGAGTGGACATGACAGCAGCACGGTGACAGCATTCAATGAAAAGACTTAAAACTATTACTTTAACACATTTGTGCCCAATAATGGGTTTTATTTCTGTGTCGCGATCGCGAACAAATCTTTAACCAGATCTTCTAAGTGATTCGGTTGAACACGTTCACCAAATCGAACTGAATCATTTGAAATGATTTGCGTCTCCAGTAAGCACTTCTCCACCCACGTCTTACATTATAACAAGCCTAATACCCCCCTCTGACTCTAAATAATCCAATATACACTCTCATTCAGTTATTAGAACAGTATTGTTACATTGAGAGGCGGTGAACCGATAATATTGCGCATGCGTGATTCAGTGAACCAAACACAAACGGTACAGCCTGCTGTATGACTGAACTGAACAAGGAACAACTGCAGCGCTGGTAAACCTAGGGCTTAAATAAGAGGATCTGGTGAAAAACGTAAGTTTATTTCTTAACAGACAATCGTAATGGAGTTTAAATAAGTGAAGCATGATTCAGTTGGGTTTACAGTTAGTAAAACTTTACTGTAAGACATTTTTCAGATCATGGTTATATTTTAACTGACTGAAATTACTATTGCTGACTACATAATGTAGAGTCCTAACATCCGCGTTCGAAATCTGAATTTCCCATCAGGCCTGGATTAATAATAATTCAGAGGCCACTGGGCACTATGGCTTGTAGGCCCCCTATAGTCGCACCCCATAGTTGAATTAAAAAATAAGATTAATATAATATTTGTTAAATACAGTTAATTTATGATATATTGCCCACATTTTATAGTAAATTATATACAGTATATATTTCTAGTCTACAGAGATTTAACTTATTTTTAAAGCACACTTTGAAAAATAATACTAATAAAACTAGGGGAAATTAATGGATATTAATATACTTGTTCAGGTTCACTGAAGCAGTACAAAAATTTATTTTAAGGTATTTTTAATGTATAACTTCTACAATCTTATAATGCATATGATTTGGATAACACCTCTCCAATTTGAGAATGGGTAGATGGTTGTGGTAGATGATAGTGTTCATGTGTCCTCTGAATACATGTTTCAAAAAATGTATGACTGCGTTTTTAATTATATAATATTTATCCTGTTGATTTTGAATCTTGTACTTAACAAATATCCGTATTTAAAAAAAAAAAAAAAACTTAAACTAATACTGAAACTAATAAAAACTAAACTAAAACTAAGACATTTTAAAATATAGAAACTAATAAAAACTAGGAAATCTGCATCTAAAACTAATAAAAACTAACTGAATTTGAAAATAAAAAGTCAAAACGAAATAGAAACTAAAACTAATGAAAAATCCAAAACTATTATAACCTTGCTTCTCACTGATGTTTTGTTACACTAAATAAAAATCTACATTATCTATGCTGAAAAAGGTGCCTTATAAAATTGGTAGTTACATCAGTCTTTCCCCAGAAGATTTCAGTGGCTAAACAACACTTCTGTGCATTTAACCCATTCATTATACAACAACATCTATATCAGCTTTGCCCGACTAAAAGAGTTTTACAACATAACATTACCGGTCTACAAGAAATACTTAAGCCATGATGTCGCCCTTCCTCCAGCGTGCAAAAATAACTCCAATATTTATCCAGGATTTTAACAAGTTTTGATTCAGCATTTTTTTTTTACCAGTCAGACTCTCTCTGTCTTATGTGCACACGTAAATGGCAGATCTGTGTAAACAGCTACGCAGACGTGCAAATCTACATTTGTTAACAGACAGTCTGGGCTACCTATCAGAATTATGGGAATTGTCAGCCTGACAAATTTAACTGGATGAACATTAAGTCTTATGCCTTACCCAGAATATAAAAATACATATAAATACATTCAGATCATTTACTTTACTTTGCTATTGGAATGTGAAGAGACTTTACAAAAAATGTTTCTGAAGACAATCACCTGCTGCACTTTTAATAAAATAATCAATTACCATCAAAAGAAGACTGCAAACATTTGAAATAACAAATGTGTAAGTGTTTAAAAGCAGTACTAACCTGCATTCTTCGCCGTTAAGTACATCATTTTCTTTTTCTTTTTTTTTCCTGTTAGTGTCCCACAAAGGATTCCTAGAACAAACCATAGGTGGATGTTTTCTTTACTGTTTACATGATTAATGCAAAAGGTAACAACTTTGTCCAGGCTTTGGCATTACGCAGTGGATTTTCATGTAATTGTAAAGTCAGTATAATCCACTAGATTTCCCCTAAAATCAAAATACCAAAATCAACTATAGACCATTTCAATGTGGCGATGTCATTGGCCCATGAACATTTCCTACTCATTGTCAAACTCTTTCATAACAATATTAAGATGCAATTAGATCATAACATTAAAACAGCTATTATAACAACATTTATCAATATTCTGATCTTTTTGGATTCTCAGAAGAAATTAAAAATGTAAAACACATTTTAAATACGTTAGGACCATCATTGTTTACATCCCTTAAAAGGGTCTATACCTGATCCATCCAGGTCTCTCCTTACAAATGCTTTCCTCTTCTCCTCCAGAAACTGACTGGGGATCAGACCAGTATGTCCTCCATTTATGTTACATGCCTAAAAGAATAACAGAACACTACATAGCTTCAATATGCTAAATACTCCACAATTTTAAAGAAGCTAAATGGAAAAAGAGAGAAAAAAAATGTATTTGCTTCTCACTTGCCACCAGTTGGGGTCCTCCTTGTTCACTATATGCAAAATGTCTCCTTTGGAGAAAGCCAAACCCGCCTCCCTACATGGGATCAGGTTATCGGTGTTAGGATTGTAGTTGAAATGTGGCTTCAGGTACACCTAAAGGGCAAAGAACGTGTCAAGGTCTTATTGACATGAGTGAGTTAAAGCTACAAATTATAAGCTAAACACACTATATATTTCTCAATAATTAGTAGTGCTTTCTGACACAATGTTATGATAGTTAGAAAACAAGGTTTACATGTTACATAGACTAGCATTGGTTTGCAGTAATACTTCCCAACATTTTTTGTATGCTGACAACACTGAAGCCCAAAACTGACTTGGTGAAATAAACGAAAGCAACCCATGTTGGTGTGTTTTAAACGGACTTCTCCATGAAGGGCAACAGAATGTTTTCACATGAAATATTTAGGGAGCATTGTGGATCTTATCAGTGATGAGCACCTAACAGTAAACAGAGCGCCTCATTCACTGAACACATGCTGAGTAAAGTCCAGGTCTAAAAAAGACAGTAATTTGGGTTTGGCACATGGAATGAAGTCCAGTAAACCCTGTAAACCCTCGCCTCCAGTGTTTGCTCTCTGTGTGGGGTTTTTCAACAGTATTTATTCAAGGCAAGTGGGTAAAGGACAAATTCTTGTTTAGACGCAAGCTCTCAGGAAGTGGACAAATGGTAAAAAGGTTGACATGCAACAGCGCTGTTTTTGGATCTGAACATATTTAGATTGGGATTTGGACAAGACACTTTTATTTCTTGTGGATCTGCAAAACCGGCTTTACTTGTGCTATTTTTTTGTTGCCTAAATGTTGTGAATCATCATTCTCTGTACAGGGTTTCTGCAGGTTTTTTCAAGTCAAATTTAAGACTTTAAGACCCTTTCAAGACAATAAAAATAAAATTTTAGACTTATACAGGGCTCAGCTCTAAGGATTTTTTCCCAATGGCCCGTTTACTTCTGTAAATAGTTTTTGTATTAATGGAAGATAATGGGATGTGTAGCTTTAGTTTTCTTTCCCTGATTAGAGAATTTAATTTGGAGAATTTGCTGTAAAAATGTCTAATTGCTGTTGTGAATTGTATCTTTTTGCAATAAAAAAAAAAGTTAATTATAAAACAAAAAAGTTTTAAGATTGATATTGGTGATTGGGTGTCAGCCTGATAGGGTAGCTTTACTTGGACAGAGGACAATTAAGACCGGTTTAAAATAATTTAAGACCTACAACACAATATTTCAGTGAATTTAAGAAAAATTACTTTTTAAAATTGTGTGCCTTCTTTTGTTCTTGAGAGCCATGTATCTTTTGGTAACTGGATTTTAATTTTGTCATTCAAAATAAAATAAAAAAAAAACGAAAATCAAATCATTTTAGAATTTTGCTTTTCCGTTTTTCACCACAAAAAGAAAAAACACCTATTATTTCAATATTGGTTTTTGAATTAAAAAAAAAGGCTCAATTTTTGTTTTTCAATATGCGTTTCTAAAATGAAAATCCAATGACCAAAAGATAAATGGACCCTTGAGATACATATATTACTGTTTTTATATTAAACTCTTTATTTTGGGCATTGACAGGACCCTCACCTTGATGAAACAATATGCCCCTCTACCTCGTACACAGAGTTTGTGTAGTTTATCTAAATTTTTGCCATTGTGTTTATTTCACTGGGCTGTTATTGTTCTGGAGATTTTCTCCTTCTCCGATCATAATACAGCAAGTCCCACTGAAAAGTTAGTGAACCTCCATTCTATAACTTTGGGTGACACTCCAGATTTCATCCCCAACTATAACAAGATTTAACGGAGGCTATAATAGAAAGACCAATTAAAAGCATCAAAAATACATGAAACCCTCCAGCAAGCCACCTTTTGATACAGTGAGCAGTGGTCTTAGTGGGCATCTCTTCAAGTCATAGCAGCATAAAAACCAGCTAGCTAGTAGCTAGCTAACTGACAATTCTCAGTTATATAAAAAAACACTAACATTATAACTTAAACAAAAAAACAAATAAATTAGTAAACAATTTAAAGGGTAACAACTTAATTTCAGCATAAAGCTGTCTCCAGGCCCAGACAGCAGAAAGAATAAGGGTATATGTGTTTGACTCCTCCCATCTGCCCTACTTAGCACAGGTTGTGTTATTAATAGGGATATAACCATGCTCAGTTTCAGCCTGGGGGCTTTCAGAGTCACCCAAAGGCCAGGTCTCTTCTTCTGCATCCTCAAGGACTCAACTAACCCATATCCCATCAGAACTAGGGAGAAAAGACTGTTACTAGGTCACCGATTACTATGAAAAAACAATACTGGTTCAGATGAGGAAGATCTTTTGGATCAAATTATAATGATTATTCAAATATTTACCCACGCCTATAGGTAAATGTTGTCTAAAGATTATTAGAAACCATTTATTTCTAACTTTAATATACATTTAGACAAATGTAAAACACTTCTGTAAAATTGTTTCCAAATGTATCTGGACTGAATGTCCAGTCATACTGTAAAAGTGATTCACACTTTTGCTTTTGTAATAAAAGAAAAATGCTTCTGAAAGCAGAAAACCTTTAGGTTTAGGCAGGATACTGCATGTACACCAATGATTTAGAGATTTAAATAGCAAGGAAGAGAAAGCCTGCTGACAAATAATCCAGATTTAGAAAAAGAATTTGACATTTGTTTGATTGTTCAAATACTACAGAATTTAAGAATGTGATTAATTTTATTATTTTAAATAGTTCATAAAAATAATTAAAAGCTACACAATTAAACGTAAACCCTAAGCAATGTGTGTAAAATGCAGTGTTGCCACAATACTAGAATTTCTAACTTTGATATGAGAGCAATTCCAGCTTTATGGATGTGTTATTTGCTGTAATAATTACAAAAATATTCACAGAGAAAGTATAATGTTAAGATTATTTAGAATTTTAAATGAGGAAAACAATTGTGTGTCATAGATGTAACCAAAAAAGTCTGAGTTTACAGTATGAAACAAACTTTGTAGAAACTCTGTGAATTAAAGGATAAGAGCTGGCTCACTATAGAATAAAAATGATTGATTTTACATTGACAATTAAAAAAATTAAGGTCAAAATTATAAGCCCCTTTAAGCTATATATTTTTTCGATAGTCGACAGAACAAACAATCATTGTACGATAAGTTGCCCTATTACCCTAACCTGCCTGGTTAACCTAATTAACCTAGTTAAGCCTTTAAATGTCACTTTAAGCTGTATAGAAGTGTCTTGAAAAAATTAAATATAATTTACTGTCATCATGGCAAAGATAAAATAAATTAGTTATTAGAGATAAGTTATTAAAACGATTTAGAAATGTGTTGAAAAAAATCTTCTCTTTATTAAACAGAAATTGGGGAAAAAAATAAACAGGGGGCTAATAATTCTGTCTTCAACTGTATCTCTCTAAAACCTGGGTCTGTGTAGGTCTACAGCACGGAGATTTAACTGGCCTCTGCAGGAGCTGAGAGAGGATCACATGAACTCTAATGATGCTCACATTGACTGTCGCTCAGGAAAGTTGCTCTTTATTTGCAAAAAGCTGAAGGATTTTCAACTTTGTTACATCACTCAACATTCCCACATCCAGTCGGCAAAGGCTGCTTTTGCTCGTTTAGTCTGCGGTTGCCTGGCCTCTGTTGAAATTAAAGGTTGTTTCTTGCTTTGCCGCTACAAGTCACTTGTAGTGTGAATGTGGAAAAGCATTAAGTTTATAGTACTGTGGACCAATCTGAGTCACTGAAAACACTGTTTGAGTGTTTAAATGAAACTATTACTGTTGAGAGGACTTGTAAACACCAACTGTGGTAGGTGTGAATTTGAAGTCAGAGTATTAAGCAAAAGCAATATCACATGATGTCTGTCAAATACAGAAATATCAGATATTCCAGTCTCATTATGTATTAAAGAGTCAGTATTTTTAACAATGCTAGTAAAATTAGGGTTGCACGATAAATCAAAATGAAATTGCATTCTAGATTAAGGAAAAGTCAGGCACATCTTATCAGTGAAATACAGTTGTGTGATCAGTAGTAAATTGTCTTTGAAGGCCACAGGGCACTCTCATATAAAACTCCAAAGACCCACTAAGTAAAAACCAAGTAAATCCCTATAGCGGTTGCACAAGATTTAACTGCTTTCATTGATTTAATGTGACTTATAGTCACATGGCTACTTAATCATCTCAAACAAGAATTTCTTTCAAACACTCAACTGAAGTTATAAAGCATGTTTGGAGTAAATTAATGTTATGTAATGTAAATGTGTTATTTTCATAGCCGTAGTTCATATGATAGCTGTTTGCAAAGCTTTTCTATTACAGAACAATCATCTTAGATTTCATTATTGCCCAAATTAACACATTTTTAGTAGCGTGTCAGTCAACTTCTGACTCTCCATCTTATGTCGGCTTCTGCTAATCACAGAACCAGCTTTACTGACAAAATGTGCAAACATTCACCTTCAATTAATCGTGCAGCTCTAAATAAAATGTATTTTGTATACTGGTGTGATTGAGCAGTGCGCTGACCTGTGCGGGTGGAGGTGTGTCCTTGTAGCTGGGGAGGATTTTGAGCGTGATGCTTCCATTGCAGTCCCTCAGCATGTGCTGTAATGCCATGGGGTCTTTGCCCACCTCTCGGCCGTTCACCTCTCGGATGACATCACCTGCATGGAGCATCCCCTGCCTGTCAATCATGCTGCCATGCAAAACACGCGCGATGACAAGGTCACCCTCCTCCACCCGGAATGTTACACCCTTAAACAGAACACACCATGAATATCAGAATAAAAAGTTACGCATAGTACCAACAGTCCGGAATGCACGTGACCCACGGATTAATAACTATTTTTAATAACAATTTTTTTATTAACATTTATAACAAGTACAGGGAGAATGCTTTCCGCAATATTCAAATCATGTGTATGAAAAGCATTTTGGCTTCCCTGTAAAATGTAATGATGATGGAAATATAATGTGGTGGGACCTAAATGCTTTCTTAGGTTTTTAATAAAAGGTGTTGTCTGTCACTGTTTGTTTAGCATGCATTAACGCATTCAGTGTAAAGTTGAACATTAAACATTAAAAGATCGTGAATTCAAACCCGCACAAATTGAATGATAAATGATAATGATTTGCATATGTTTATTAATCCTTTGAATTGCTGCATTCAAATCTGCATTCAATCGAGAGAGATTCAGTTTTTACAGTTTTCAGTTAGTTATAAACAATTAAAGAACACAGAAGTACGCTGTTTATATCTGAACTCTATAGTTCAGATATAAACAGCGATGTTTATGGATTAAAATGACCGTTTAATGGAAATTGATGCTGATGAATGTTGTAGCAATTACATTGTTTAACCAAATAGGTGGCAACCATCAAAATTATGTCACTGATTAGGTTTTCAAAAATGATACACCTATAATGAAACATGAAGTTTTTTGTGTGAATTGTTGAATCATTAATTGATAATAAATATTAATGCTAAATATAGAAATCTAACATTTTGTACATCATATCATGTAGTACAGCATTATCAGCAACAGTAGCAAAGATCAATTTTTATATTGAATATTTTCCTTTTTTTCAGCTGGTTCTTTCTTGATTTTTATTGTTATTTAAATTACAGGTTTTAGTGTGATCCGAACCGTGAGATTTGCAAACAAATTAAAATGCATCTTGGTTTCATACATTGTTTCCAAGAAACTACCCATTAAAATGTAATTCAGTATAACAAAATGTACATTTGCTAGAATCATTAGATTATATATATATATATTTGAGGATTACAGTAGATCCCAGACATATTAATCAATCATTAATTTTTTTTATACTTTTTAAACATATACATATATACACATAAACACACACACACACACACACACACACACACACACACACACACACACACACACACACACACACACACACACACACACACACACACACACACACACACACACACACACACACGTGAGACTAAAAGATCCATGATCTGTCAAATAATCGTAGATCATTTAAGCAAGGTACAAAGTGTGCACCCCTTGGTTTCCAGCTTTCTTCAAATTATCTTTTTTTGTGTTTAACAGAAGAAAATGTCAAACAACAAACAACTTGGAACAAAAGGTGTGTAAATTATTAGATTATTTTCAGTTTTGGGTAAAACATATCGTTTAATAATAAATTAATATTTTTTTCTACGCAAGCAAAAATCAGTTACAAATTTAACTTGCTGCGGAGACCAAAACATCATAAAAATTTAACATAATACACAATATACCTAATAATATGGTTATATACTCTTTTCTGTGGTTTATAATATTAATAATAATAATAATAATAATAATAATAATAATAATAATATCAATATAAATAAATCTTCTCAATGATAATATATCACTAAAACAATTAAATATTATTTTCAGTAAATAACTTTCAATAAATAACTAATTTGCTTATATATAAAATAAAAAAAGAAATTGAATGCAGCAAGCAATACTACTGTAACCAAAAATTATTTTCACACTATCTGGATCTGAAACACAACCAGTTAGCAGTTAATAGCGGGTCTATTCGAACAGAGCTTAACCTCTAACCGACCATCAACTATAATCCTGTGAAATAGAGCTCAACTGTCACTCACAAGAGGCTCTCCAGCCTTCTTCTGGATGCTGATCATGCGAACCGTGTCAGCCGGCATGAGGGATGAGCTGGACATGCTGGTGGAATTGGTGCTGGTGGGAGGAGCTTCATATGATTTAGAGGCCACCTTGTCATGAGCTTCCAACAAGGACTAAAAATATCAAGAAAACGTCATTAAAATCAGACAAATTTTAACAAAATTTAACAAATAATTTTTCTAATAATGAAAAAGACAAAATTTCTCAAGTGCTAAGAAGCATTTTTACTTTAGTACAACAACAACAACAACAACAACAACAACAACAGGCTGAAAAAAAATGTAATGCTAAACAAATTCAGTTCACACATGGAAAGTTTGAATACCTGGAAATGCGGTTCCTTCAGGATGTTAGAGAGTTCTGCTGCACTTTCATCCCGAATGATCAGACTGCTCATATCAGACAGGATCTCACTCACTAGCTCCACGTTATTACTTTGAACCGCCTCCAGCTTAACATCCTCCAATCGCTCATGGGCCTGAGAGAGAATGGGCGGAGACAAATAGCTTGAGCATTTGAGCCAAGAAAGAGATTAATGGATTACGCCTCCCAGCATTAACAAATGCACGGTCAGGTGCACTTGAGGTAGAAGAGTTGTAATAACCACACACAAAGTGATTAAAAGCAATTATTTAATCAAGTGCCTCTGGGTTTGATTTTCATTACAACTGCAATCAATTCTAATAGTTTATCATAAAATAATTTGATTTCTAGAACTTTTGAATACATCGAATAAAAACAGCTCCACTCTTTTCCCCAGTTTTTTTGTATTTTCAGTTTTAATCTATACAAACAAACAAATTATTTGTTATTAAATTTAATAATGACAAATTAATTAAACAGTAAAACAATAATACAATTAATTTAAATGACATTTACTGTGAAAAGGGGGAATTTAACTTAATTTAAGTCCTTAATTTCTGAATTAATAAATAAATCTAAAAATTTTACTAAAATCACTTGAGCAGATATTTAAAAACATTTTGTTCATTCCCAATCCTTGTGTAATATATTAAATGAAAAATATAGACAACATATCTTCAGTAAATTATATAATGTTCATATATAAATACAATAGCCTAATACAATCTCCCTATTTTTACAGAATACTATACATTTACAATGTTTTCTTTCTATTTAAATATTTTGTATAATAAAATTTTATTAAGCTTTATATGCCCATAAAAATGGTAGAAATTGCTGTTTTAAAGTCCTTTTTTACCCGTTTTAACAAGATTAAGGAATGGTTGGCGGGTAATTTTAAGGAGTTGGAAACTATTGTCAGTGTTTTTATTATGTCAAGATTGGACTGCTGCAACTCTTTGTTTTCGGAGTTTCACAGGCTTTAATTGTGCGTCTGCAGCTGCTTCAAAATACAGCTGCTGGGCTTTTAACTGGGACAAAAAAAATTCTAGTTTCATCTGTTTTATTATCCCTTCACTAGCTCCCAGTCCAACTTAGGATTCAATACAAGTTACTGTTATTCGTTTTTAACATTGGTGAGCTTCTTCACTGGCATACTCTATTAAGACCAATCAGGTCGAAAAACCAGTTTCAGCTAGTTGTTCATAAAATCACAGTTAAAATCAAGAGGTGACAGGGCCTTTTCCTGTCACAGCCCCTTATCTGTGGAATAGTCTGCCTTTACATATCAGGTCATGCTGCTCTTCCCTTGGTGCTTTTAAGTCTCATTTAAAAAAAAAAAAATCCCTTTCTGTCTTTTCTTTCTAAAAACGGTTTAGTAACATGGACTACATGTTTTACACAACAGAGTGTTAGTTCACAAATCAAACAAAGTCAAGCTCAACCAGCAAGTCTCACAATCTGAAAAATTTCACGCAGCTATATTAAGAATAAGAAGAGGCCCCCTGTACATCACATACTCATGACCTGTGACATGGAAAACACCCCTGGCCTCCAGTTCACAAATGTGTGCACACATTTACATACGCTTATGTTGATATTGCACTGTAGATATAAGCACTCTATTTAAGCAATCCTTTAAATGGCTAGTTATTTTAAATGCAACAGGTTGAGGTGTCTGGATTATCAAATATATCATGTTACAAAATAGAGAATAGGTTTGCACCTTAGCAAGGGAACGAACAATGGGGCTCTCCATGATGCCGCGGAGGAAGATGAGGTCGATGTCTTTGGCTCCTGTAGAAGGCGGCAGCTCTTTGAGGTTGTCCAGCACCTGCTGCATAGCTGCAGGTCACACATAAAAATATGCACACATTACTAAAATACATACACAAGCCAATGCTGTAAATGAGCCGATTGAGAGGAATAAGTAACAAATTACAAATACTCAAATTACTGCGAGTAGTTTCTCAGAAATTACAATTTACAAAGTAGTTTTAAAAATGTGTACTTTTACTTTTGCTTGAGTACATTTTTACGAAGGTAAATTGCATCACAACAAACTACCTCAAGACATGGGTGATTTATAATTTAAGCAAACTGTTTGGTAGCAAGTGTCCAAGAAGGTTTACAAAATCTTTACACACATTGGCCCAGATGTTTAGATGCATGTCACTGATGAAAGATGACTGATGTTTACTGTATGATGACTGAAACGGCTTTAAACTACCAGCAGGCACAAAACATCAACATACCGTCAGATTGACATTATACCCCAAGGGACATTCCATTTTGTTTGGAATGAAAAGTTGAGTTGACATCAGTGCCCAAGTTAGGCTCAATGTCCAAATATATATATATATATATATATATATATATATATATATATATATATATATATATTTTTTTAAATCAACCAAATATCATTATCTAATGATGTTAGGCTTAATGTTGTGTAGACGTTACCACTATGATGTCTATCAGATATTGGATTTTGGTTTCCATACCTGACAAATATCAGTATTTGATGTCAATATGACGTTGGTTTAAGATGTTGGCTCAACGTTGAATTTTGGTCATTTTCTAACACAACCTAAAATCAACCAAATATCAACATAATTTGACATAATTATTAGACATCAAAACAATGTTTTCCTTAAACAAATTCAAGGCACTAAATTTTGTTCACCTGACATCGCAACCTAAATCTAACCTAATATTAACATCTTATGACGTAGTGTGCCTGCCAGGGCAATAACTAAATGCACTAGGGATGGGAAGATTAACCGATATGTATCGATACGCGGTCATGCACGTGCACGATACGAGTGCATCGGTAGAGCAGCAGAGGATGAATGAAATTTTGAAAGCAAATCGAGATGCATCGGTTTTTGCGAGATGCATCGGTTTTTCCAAGATACAGCTTATATTTTTAACATAGAATGTATTTTTTATTTATTAACAAGTGTTGTCAACCTGTTTTTGGCGCATAATTTAATCGACCTACATAAAGTAGCAACGGACTTGCGGACTTGCGGATGTGTACACAACGGATGTGTACACAACTCAGTGTATCAGGTGTGCGGATGAAGCTAGTGGTGCGCCCTCAGAAAGCGCGAGAAGCAAAACAAACATTTTATTCCCCACTGAGTTTTAAATCTAACGTATGGCAACATTATGGATTTTGCAAAAAGGATGGACGACTTGACAGGACAGATGCAATTTGCAAAAGGTGCCGCGCATCTGTAAAATACACGGGCAGTACGACTAATCTGATATCTCACTTGAAGCGGCGCCACGGTGTTGTTGTGAAAGCATCTTCCAGTGTTCCTGCATCCCCGGCTTCCTGCTCTGCTTCAACTGTAGCTACAGTACCAGCTCCAAAAGTGGTGAGAAAAGCATTGAATGTTGTTTCCATGCGCAACAGTTTTGTGCGCCCTACGCCAATAACGAATGCTATTGCATTGTTCATCTGCAAAGATATTCAGCCTAGTGTCACGGAGAACGAAGGTTTTAAACACCTCCTCCTGTTAATTTTTATTTATTTATATTTTTATTAGCCTGTTGTTTACAGTGACAGTGATGTTTCAAAGCAGCATAACACTGCTAGTTCACGACCTTAAGTTTTAAATATTCAGTGGCACAATAGATCTTTGTAAAACTTGTTTTCATAGTTGAAAAGTTAAATCACAATTCTTGTTGTGCAATGGTAAACCTTTATGTTGAAAGAGTGCAAATATATGTATTTTTAATATTTATTGCACTTATACATTTTGTTTATCTTGAAAATACTTAAATAATATGTGCTATAGGTTCTAAAATGGCCCTCTACTGTAAACTGACACTCTGGCTCTGAGAGAAAAGCCAGTTTGTAAAAAAAGTCTTGGTTTTGCTTTGTTAATAAATAATCAAACTCATTCAATGGCACAGCATCCTCTTTCACATCATCTCATAAACTTGATCTAATTAGTTAGTGCTGAATTATCGCATTGTATCGTGATATGGGTGTGAATCGTATCGTGTTGCATCGCAATATGTCACAAATGTATCGCTAATATATCGGATCGTATTCTTTGTATCGAGATGCGTATCGGATCGGCATTATAGCTTAGATGCCCAACCCTAAAATGCACTACAGAATACTAAAGAATACAGACTGCTACATTTTTAGGCAAGTAATGGTACTTTAACATTAGTATGATTTTTCATACTCTTTCCACCACTGGGATTGAGTTCGAGTCCTGGCTGGGCCAGTTCTGAGTGGAGTTTGCATGTTTTCCCCATGTTCCTATAGGTTTTCTCTGGGTGGTCTGGTTTCCCCCACAATCCGAAGACATGCGCTATAGCTGAATTAAATAAATAAACTGGCTATAGCGTATAACTGTAAATGAGTGTGTATGGGTGTTTCCCAATACTGGGTTGCAGCTGAAAGGGCATCCAATTCATAGAACATAAATTGGAATAGTTGGTGGTTCATTTTGCTGTGGTGACCACTGAAACAGAGACTAAACTGAAGGAAAATGAATGAATTATTAAATAATGTCCATACCTTATATTAAATCGATGATTTTAAAAACAAAAAAAAGGTATAGCTGGCCCTATTTACAGGTAGATTTATAGGTAAATTTATATATTAAAAGTCACTAAGTGTCTCAATAAAGCAATAAATTTGCAGTATGTGTCAACTTACTCACATTGTAGTTCATGCCCTATCGTTTCATATTAAACATACAAAGATTTATAGGTAAATAAAACATTTTTATTCACAAAAACAATTATTATTATTATTACTAAAACTTTATTCATTAACAAAAATAATTAAGCAACGATCATCTCTGTAAGGTGCCTTCATCAAAGCCACAATCTTACACCTTTCTTGCTTCACTTGATGTACCACAGAGACAGAGTACATACTAATGTATTAAATAGCATATTGGAAAACTATTCTTTACACAAGACAAAAAAATACTTTACACAAGGTAAACGGTTATGTACATCTGACCATCTTTACAAGATGGAAAAAAAAAAAGAAAAAAAAACAATTTTTTTACAATATGGTTTATAAAAGGAGAAAGCAGCATAGCTTTCAGTTTTAGCTAGTCAGACTACATTCATTTACTCTAATTTTAACCATTTTAAACCATTCAAGCAGCTTTAGACAAAAGAGAACTTAATTTGGCATATGCATTGATTTCTTTGCACAAACACCCAAAGCGTCTCAGTGTACCACTACCAAATGCACGTCTCCATTACAAAATTTTAAGAGCAAATATACATAAATTAAATGGAAAATCCTAAAGGTCCCATATAGTGCAATGACTCAACATGTTAAATTGTTCTCTTATAACTACATAGCTAGTGTGTGGATTACGCAAGCTCATAACCCCTGATTATGGGCCCTATCATACACCCAGCGCAATGTGGTGCAAGGCGCGACGCAATTGTAGTTTGCTAGTTTCAGCTCAGCACAAGAGTCATTTTGACGTTTTGCAGCACACTGTTTAAATAGCAAATGCTTTCGCACTCATCTGTGCGCCCATAGGCGTTCTGGTCTAAAAAAGGAGGCGTGTTAAGGTTCTTCATCTCAGGGGGCTTTTTTAGTTTATTCATGAAAACTACTTTCGTGTAATGTTATTAATAGAAGTAGTATTTTTTTTTAATATGCACATTCATATTTGTTTTATTAAAAATAAGCTTGGATTTGCCCACCTGTCAGGTTTTAGACAACATGGGGCATAGCATGTGTATTTGGAAATAACTCAGTTTTTTTAACACACTTTGTTATTATTGCACCGAAACTATAAAGTTTAACAGAACTTAAAAAGCCGAACCACTTCCAAACCACTGCATTAGTCTTTCCTCTCTCATCAACCAATTCATCTGCATTCTTACTTGTGGAAGCTTGTTCATTCACATCTGTATTTAGGCATTTCATTTTGTAGCTGAAACTTTCTGCGACAAAGCGAACTGCTGAGCGCTGGCAGCACAACAGCGTGTCAGTGATGGATGTCATCACGCAAGTGACATGATCACGCTCTTTACGGCTATATATATATATATATATATGCAAATTTATATTGAAAAACCGACAATGGGTTTAAAAGACACATCACCGTTATTGATATTAAAAAAAAATCTAATCGCAGTATGTATTGATATCGAATTATTGTCCAGCCCTATGAATGTTCATGAATATTTTGAGCTCTGCTGTAATGCTCCCACAGCTCAGTGCATGCCCACACACACACACACACAAGCGCACAGAGAGTTATGTACTGTGAAAAAAAAACATGCAAAATATTACAAAATACTTTAACTTGGTAAAATACTTTGTTAAATCTTTTTAAATTAAGTTGATCAACAAAAACAAAAAACCTGTTTTGTCCCAAGTTGTGTTAATATAGGCAAAATTATAATTATACTGGACAAAAGAGCCAGACAAAAGATGTATTAAAAGTTGTATTTGGAAGCTTTAACATATATGAAAGCACAGCCAGCAATTAAAATCAACCTATGCAACTAAAGGTTATGCCAACTGTGCACTAGTTTAAAGTACCAAGCTTGACTGTACACAGTCCAATGACCTACTGCTATCCAGTAACTGAGAATGACAAAAACAATTCATATACAGTATGTAGTACTGCATCAGAAAGCACTCAGACAATTATAAACAACTTGAGGGGCTAAAAAAAGGCATATCCACCACAAAGTAGAGTAATTTGCATATTGCAAACAGTAACCATTTCCATGGTGAACAAACCCACACAGAGACCTCTCCCACAATAAAAAAGAAAAAAAGAAAAAGAAAAAAAATTCACATAAGGCAGATGATGTGTTGTGTCAGTGAAAACCGCTGAAAGAAAACACTGAGCTGAGGGCCATACATGCAGATTCATTTCAACTTTTCAGGAACACTGTATAAGAACTACACTATGAAACATTTATTAAGCATTAGAATATAGTGAATTTATTATCTGTTAAAGTATTAACTCTAATAAACATTAGTAAGCAGTTTATAACTGAAGCTACAAATGCTCTATTCTTGATCCATAAGCACATTTATAATGTGCTTAATAGTGCATTTTCATACTTTGTTAATGATTTATTTTTCATGACTAAACTAAGTATTGCTTAATTTAAAAACTAGTTATTTAAGCATAGTTGGTGGTTTTTTAACATCATTCTGAATAAGTTAAATGATAAATAAACTATTCAAATTAACATTTATAATTCTTCTTATTCAGGCATATACTAATAGTTAATTTTTATGTTAATAAATGCTTTATTAAGTCCACTTCATCCAGTTTTGTGACCTAATATAAAAAGTGAGGACTATTTATGCTTTATAAACCCTTATATAAAGCACAAATAAATAAATTACTTTATTCATTTTTATTGGTTTGAAGATACACAAATGAAACTGTATGAAATAAAAAATTTTGCAACCTTATCTAAAACAAAATTACTGTACAGTTTATACATTGCATCCTATTATATTGTGAAATTATTATATTGTTGTTGTTTTTTCCAATTTTATGTTGAATTTTGACACTACTTGTAACAAAGGGGCTGACACAAAGGGATCCATTTGCAGAATATTTATTAAACACAGTTTAATAAAGACAAGCACACAGATGTAACGCGTGTGCGAACTCACATCAAACACAATAGTGTTACGTAGCAGGGTTGAAGGCAGGTAATCACAGTATGAGAGTCCAGGCATGGGTCCGAGGCAGGCGGCGAATATCAAGGTCGGTGTACAGGCTAGAGCTCAAGGCAGGCAGCTTGGATCAAAGTCAATAATCAGGCAGAGGTACAAGGCAGGCGGCTGGCAGGACTAGGTCGAGGAACAAGGCAAGGTAAGCAATGGGAAAGCAGGCAGTGTAGAGAAACGCTCAGTAGTGTTAGCCGGGGCAAAACAAGACTTCGCAAAGACTGAGTGTGTGTGTGCTGCTTATAAGCATGAGCGTGGGTGATTTGCTGGATGTGCTTCAGGTGTGCAGGATATCATCGTAAGTGGATGATGTAATGGCTAAAAGTCCGGGGATGGTGACCTCTGCTGGCCAGCGAGGGGAATGACTGGGACCGAGTCAGTGACACTACTGTTATTCAGCAATGTTTAAACTTTACAGTAATTTCACTTTTTAGATAAGATTGTTGTTAATTTGATACCAAGCCTTTAATTGTCAGTTATAAGAAATTTATAAAGCATAAATGGTCCTCACTTTAGATTAGGTCATAAAACTGCAAGGAGTTAATAAAGCATTTATTAGCATACAAAGTAATCATTACTGTATTCCTAAATAATAAGAGATATAAATGTTAATTTCAATAGTTTATTAATCATTTACAAACTCATTCTGAATGTTCTTACAAAAACACCAACTAATCCTAAATACAAATGTTTTGTAAATAATGTGATAATTTAGTAATGAAAAATCAATCAGTCACAAAGTATGAAAGTACAATTATTAAGCACATTATAAAAATCAATAATACAGCATTTGTAGCTGCAGTTATAAACTGTTTACTAATGTTCATTATTGTAGAGTTAATGCTAAACAGATAATGAATTAACTATTTGCTAATGCTTAATAAATGATTAATAGCGTGTAGTTATAATAAAGTTTTGCCCATTTTTCTATAACCTCTTTATATCCATACTGGACTGCGAGGCAAGGCCTATTTGACACTGACAAAGTTTGGATAATAAGGAGTGAAAAGTTTGACACTATCGATCACAGCATACTTCTGGATAAGCTGGAAAACTGGGTTGGGCTGTCTGAGACGGTGCTCAAATGTTTCAGATCTTACCTTAAAGGGAGAGGTTACTATGTCAGTATAGGTGACCATAGGTCAAGGTGGACACCCATGACATGTGTAGTCCCACAAGACTAGATTCTGGCACCTCTCCTGTTCAACCTTTATAGGCTCCCTCTCAGCCAAATAATGAGAAAGAACCAAAACTCATACCACAGCTATGCTGATGACACTCAGATCTACCTAGCCTTAGTGTCTAATGACTACAGCCCCATTGACACCCTCTGCCAATGCATTGATGAAATTAACAATTGGATGTGCCAAAACTTTCTTCAGTTAAACAAAGAGAAAACTGAAGTCATTGCGTTTGGGAACAGAGATGAGGTTCTCAAGGTGAATGTTTACCTTGCCACTAAGGGTCAAACAACAAAAATAAGGTCAAGAATCTTGGTGTGACTCTGGAGTCAGTTCTGAGTTTTAATAGTCATGTCAAAGCAGTCAGTAAATCAGCATACTATCATCTCAAAATCACTTCAAGAATTAGATACTTTGTTTCTAGTGAAGACTAGAGAAACTTGTTCATGCTTTTTTCAGCAGCGGGATGGATTACTGTAATGGACTCACTGGCCTTCCAAAAAAAAAAAAAAAAAAAAAAAAAAAGGTATTGTTTTTGTGTTGTAAGCTTATGGAGGTTGAATAAAAGTGTATCAAATTATCAAAAGCAACAAAAAGATAGACTAAATCACCAGTGACGACTGGTAGTTCTACATATCACCGAGGCTGAGAAAAGAACACATCACTGAAGTAGAACAATGGTGGAGCTGCACAATTAATCGGAAAAAAAAAAGATTGCAATCTCGATTCAACACCCTAGACAATCTTAATTCAGCATTTCTATGATTCTGCCAATCATATTTTCAAGTTCAGGAGAGAAGCAAAGGCAGCTGCAAGAGTCTTTTCATTGTTTCACATACATTACTCAGCGACATCGACACCTCCAAATGATGTAAAGAGTTACATACTGTATTTATAAGGTATAATTAACTTAAAAATGTCATTGTCTTCATAAAATGCTCTATCCACGGCCGGGAAATCACACGTGAGGTGAGCTGTTGACCATGAGCTGTTACCACAGACAGAGAGGGCGGGCGCGTGCCCTACTAAATGACAGACGCGTGCACGTCTACTTTAGCGAACAAAACCCGCATAGTCTGCGAGTAACAGGTAATAAAGTTGTAAATAATATTCAGTTTGTGGCACGGAGTGATTGTTTGAGAGCCGCGCGCAAAGTATGAACAGCACTTAACAGTGAAAATGAAACCAAACACGTGCACATCATTTAAATAATCATATCGCATTTTAGAGTTATGATTGCGACAAGCATTTGATGTTTTTGCTTACATAGCGAACACACAGCTGTGCATGAAATTAAATGTTTACAGTGCCAGTAAAACTACTCTAGCCTTTATAATGCTGATTTTACCAGTGAATAAAATGGTCTAACAATGTTGTCAATGACAGATTGAAAGCATATATCTCAAACAGAATTCAACATCAGAATTATTATAGGTAGAATAGAAGTATTTATAGAAACCAGTAGACCCACACAAAATATTATTGTTGTTGTTTTACCATATGTTTAAGAAAAAAACAATAATAATTGCCGACTCATATTAACCTTTATTATACATCTACAGAATCGTGAGAAACTCGTGATCTTTATTTTAAGCAAAAAATAAGTAAAAATAAAATTTAAAAAATAAATAATTGCGATTCTTATTTTAGCCAAAATCGTGCAGCTTTAACCAATGGTCTAAAACTCAATTCTTGGAGGGTTGCAACTCTGCATAGTTTGGCTCCAACCACCTTCGTGTTTGATTAGGGTTGGACTAAAACTGTGTAGAGCTGTGGCCCTCCAGGAATCCAGTTTGAGGTCTATGCTGTAGACTAGAGCAATAGATAAATAATTTAAACATTAGGTTTCTGTAGGTGTACATCTAATATCACCAAAAAAAAAAAAAAAAAGACTGCTTGATAAGGATACACGTCAGTGTATTCCCTAATGTGCTAAATTACAACCTGTTCTAAAGTAATATCTAATAAAATGGTAATCCCAGTTCCTGCAGTGCAAAAACTGAGTAACTTAACCAATTGTTTTAGGAAGTGTGGAAAAAGTGGGAATTACAAAATACGACAACAAAAAATTGGCAAAATTATGGCAAAAATTAAATGTTGCACAAACGGCATGTTTACATACAATCCATAAATGTAAATCACCCAGCTACTATAATATAAATAAACCTCATCTACACTTATTGGACCTTTTCTCACTGACTGTAATAACAATTATGAGAAGCTTGGAAATGTAATAAAAAAAAAAAAAAAAATGTTCATTTGATTCTGATCAGCATGATTCTGGTGTCAGCAAACTGCAAGTGTGGTTACTTGTGTTCGCACAACTTTCAGCAACTAGCATCCAATCAGTAGCAAAAAAGCTGCAACACGTGTACTGATAAAAATGAATAATGTAAGAGCAAAGCTGACTTATTTGAACCAATAAAACTCCACTAAATATCATCAACTGCTAACTTAAATATAACTTAATGCAACTTAAGTCTTAAATATAATGATCATACTTAAGCATATTAAGAAAAATATCCACAAACATGTAAGAGGCTCGAAGGTGCTTACCTGTGCCAGATTTGGCATTGGAAACAGTCATTGTTTCTATATTGCAGGGCAAGTTCACAGCTAAGACAAAATTTGTCTTCAATAGCAATGAGAACCATGCACCTGGGGAACAAGAAGCAAGTCCACATCAGAATATTTACTCATGCCACCATTCTGTGCTGTTTTTTCTTTTTCATTAATGGTTATTAAAAATATATATATTTTCTATGCATGCTTTACGCTTGTCTTTGAAATCTCAGCAGTACTGCCACCCTTTCAGAAGGTCCTCGAACCATGAATGAGGCAAATCCAAGTGAAAGGACTTTACCGATAAACAGACTCTCTTTACACACAACAGTTTATCCACAGAATCAGAGACATGCTTAAAGAGACTCTACAAAAAAAAAGGAAAAAAATCTGTTGATGTTCTTTAACTATTCAACAAACACTACAATCCTACGATGTGTGCTTATGGATACACAGAATTACTGGTTCAATGTAGATGCAAGCAAAAACTCTCTGCTGTACTTTAGAAAATCAAAAACATTTCATTAAAAGGGACCTGGCAAAGTGGTTAGCAGTTAGCACGGTTCCCTCGCAGCCAGCAAGGTTACAGGTTCGAGTCCTGACTGGACCAGGAGACCTTTCTATGTGGAGTTTGCATGTCCTTCCCAAATGTGTGTGTGTATGTAGGCTTCCTCTGTGTGCTTCTGTTTTATATGCATGTATGTATTATACCATCTTTGCGTCAAATTATAAAAAACAAAATATTGCTTAAGTGAGGTGTTTGTGATACAGCGTCTATGAGGCTGAGAGTAAATTTGACGTTATTCTCTTCTCTAGCTGCCATCAGTTGTCTCACACTTTTTCAATTTTTTTCTAAAAGTCTTGATAACCCTATCGTGGAGATTTTATTATTATTTTTTTTATTAGCAAACAGGATTGTAAAAATATAATTTGATGTACTCTCCTATTCACTGTGTTCTAGGTTTTCCCAACTATGACGACTGCTGAGAAAACTGGAAATGTGAAAAATGTCTATTATTATGGTTTATTCTCTCAATACCCTTCGCAAAGCAGGACTGTGTCTTCATAGGCTGTGCTTTAGTTAATCTAACAACTAACAAACAACAAAATCTGACTGAGCCAACAGCCTATTGGCCAGCACACAGACATATAGCACAGCTATCCTCCCCATGATCAGAGTTTAATTCCTGACGTTTTCCAACGTTACTAGCCACTCAGCATTTTCACTAGCCACAATTTTGTTGTTGGAAAATGTTTATATATGCATAAATATGACTTTGACATGCTAAAATTACTTGATTTAGATTTTGTGTTATGTCCACATGCCTCCTCATTCATAATGAGATTTGAATTCATTTTCACATTTTGTGTGTCGTGTATGAGCAAATGGGTCATGGTTTCAGTGTCAAATATTTTTATTTCACAGGACTTTTCAGAACTCACAATTAAGGATTTACCTAATTTTTCTCTGATCACACCAAACAAAAATTATTTCTTAGCCACAAATTTTAAATGTGTCAAACAAGCTAAATAAAGCTGTATACTATACTTTTTATTTAACAAAACATTTATTTTAAAAATCAAAGAAAAACAATTGACTTTTAAAAAAATTTTTTGTCATGTATCAAAAATACGCACAGTAATCTGTCCTCGCTAAAGGTTTCTCAGATCACCAGTTAACTACACATAAATGGAGAGTTAATCTCATATTAAAGCAAATGTTGTTGTAAAAAATTATAATTAAACCATATAAACAAAAATAATGGAAGGATGATCACACGGTTAAGGCCAATTAATAATCTTTTCAAAGCGAAAGCAACCGGTGCTGCTTACAAAAAACGTATTTGGAGCTCTTGAAAGCAGCAAACCTATATGTGCATTAGCATTACTTTTTTGCCTGACTATTTGAAACAGTCGCGCGCATCACATCAGCTGTCAGCGCAAGTGATTATCCTCTCATTCGCTATTCATCTGCTTTCTTCTGCTCGCGTGAATGCAATTTTTATTTATTTTTTTTAATTTTTTTTAGTCGTGCTGTTTCTCTATTCTAAGATCACATTTGCACGCATAATGGGTCATTCTTATAGTCGAACCCTGCGTTTAAGAAAACCACATTTTAAAAATTATTTTCAACCAGCCAAAGTGGCTAGTGAGAGTGACTGTCTAACCCGCCAAAGCTGAAATCTACCCGCATTTGGCGGGTGTTAATGTAAAGCCCTGATTCTAATGTATATTTATTGCAATAATAAATTATTTAAGGGGTGGTCCACTACAATGAGATTTTACACTTTATTTGATGTGTAATGTAGCTGTGTGAACAAACAACATTTCTGAATGTAATACGCTCAAAGTTCAATACATAAAGGAGACATTGGCTTTTACAGTTAGCATAGCAAAGCCTACAGCGAAAGAAGTTTGGGGACTACAAAAAAATACAGTGATTAGTGAGATCATAAACGCTTCAGGTTACATGCATACACCACGCGCATACACCCTGCACAGCGAAGGGGCGTGGCCAGAGGCACTGTAATGTTGTAGCAGATCAATCTAAAATGGTGTCAAAAACTGCTATTTCTACAGAGCTTCTTCCGTTTATGTATTTGGGCCTCCAAAAGAAAAGACGCAAAGAGAGAAGTGCTTACAGTTCAACATCAATTATGGTCCTGAGAAATCTAAAAAATATTTAGCTAGCATTTGACAAAGGACAGCTTCCAGAATCTCTTGCAGTTTAGTGCTGGATTTGGCTAAAATCTCCTAAAAAATGGAGCAGCTCCAACCATAATAGAAGAAGCTGTGGAATTTGAGCCACAACCTGTAAGTATTTTTATTTGATAAAAATGATTAACCACATGCACAGTTTCTAGCGTCAACGACATGTTGTGGCAATGACGTAAACAATGAGAAATGCCATTTGTCACCACTAACAATTTAGCTACAAATTCATATTTATCTGTCAAACCGCTGTAAGCACACACAATCTTCATCAGTGTTGCAGTGTCCCTCTATGCGGCCACTTTCCATGCGTTATACATCTCAAATAACAAACTCGCAAAAGATGTGAACATTTCATATTACTTACACATGCTTATTCCAAATAAATGTGAAAGACACTTGTCAGATTTTTATTTTAGACAGCAGGTGTGAGGTTCAGCAGTCTCCTTTTTATTTTCTTTCTGATTCAGGCACAAACTGATATGGATAACAGCTACACTGACGGATAGTATTTACACAGCGCAAAACTGCATGCTTGTAGGGGCTTGACACTTTTCCTGGTGATGTCGAGCCAATCCGTAAATCACATCACATTATGTTAGCTGGCCAATCAGAGCCTCTTGAAGAAGAAAATAGGAAATATAATGTTAGCAGGAGTAGCTGTATATAGGGCTGTGACGTCACCGCGGTTGTACATTGCCACTGTCAGTCGTATGTGATGTCACGCACTTTAAAACACAAATTACTGTTATGTTGCCAAGTATTACATTTCTGTTAGAATATAACATTAGACGTGATTCAGCAATTTCAATTTCAACCATGATTCTTGTTGGAAAACAAAACCTTACATCTGGGAACATTTTGGATTCGTGCCGACCGAGAAGGGTAAACCAATTAATTTGGATTAAGCTTTTTGTAGTGTTTGTTTTTTATAAAAAGTGTTAAAAGTGTTAAAGTGTGGTTTAATATTCACAGCTGAGAGTACAAACACTGAAGAGCAAATCCATCGATGTGCAGCTTCACGGGTCTAGAACCACGCAAGCTAGTGGGAATCGACAGCGGTGAGGGGAAAAAAAATAAAAAAGCCACTCCTGTCTTCTGAACGCAAATGCCCAGCTAGTCAGCCAGGTATCACAGAGGAATTTCCAAATATGGCCAGATAAAAAAAAAAGAGAAAGTGATAAATTGAAGACATTGATGAGAAATGGAGTAACATATTTGGTAACTTAGTAAAGAACGTGCTGCTCTGCAGTGTAGAGAAACCTGCTTTCTGAGAAATGCGGGCAGTGGAACAGAAGCAAGAAACCCTCTCTTGCAGTATGTGCGCATTTGCGCTACAAGCACACCGTCTGAGCCTGTATTGCTGGAAACATTATAACCCTAATTAGGTCTTCACTTAAATCGGACAAACTTAACATGTTAGTTTTTCTGGCAAATAATTTTAAATATGAATAGAATACAACAGGGTGGAGAGAACCTACGCTGTTTTTTAAACATCTGACTTATATTATTACTGGTAAGCTAATACTTTTGTACTTATAATTATTGCTATTTATATTATTATTGATTAGTAAAGTGCCATTTAGGCTATTTGTGAAGTTCTTAAAAATGTAACGTTTAATTATTATTATTATACGGTTTTAAGCAGTTAAAGTCATTTAATATTTAACTACAACATTTATAAGCAGTATTGTGTTGTTTTATTAATGAAAGTTCAAAAATAAACACGTACGTTTATACGGATACTTTATTAATTAATATTTAATTAAGTTATAACTTATTCCTTCATTTTTACATAAAATGTAAATTAACTATGGGCTACTTTGTTGGTGGTACGGGAGGAACATTTTTGCCAGTGAATGTTCTCACCACTTAAAAAAAATTTAATAAAATAACTTGCGAAAAGGATGCAATAAACAAATGCAAGATCTTAATCATTCTTCATATTCTGATTCGTAGGCTACATGCAATAAACCTATATTGCGCCGACAAGAACAAGCCTTAAAACAAAGTCTTGCTGTATTGCATTGCATATTTTTTTAGATTATCATTCAGCCTATACAGCGCATACGAGACGTTGATGTGGCAAATGCCCTTTACTCCTGCACTATATACCCATTTCATTTATGACACTGTAAACTTGACCTGGCAGGCTGATCATCTTCAAACTCAAAAGGCATTTTTAAGTGTCCTAACTTGAGACTGCTGCTGCATAATGGGATGTTTCTTATAACAACTTTTAGCGATGTCAAAATGAAAGCAATCATTAAAAAGGGTTTTGCGTTTTATCAATTGTATAGCTTATTCGTTTTAATAATAATGAATTTAATACATTATAATATTAATTACAGTGTAGACTACTATGCAGTGTCCCACAAAACATTTTTATTAGGTTAATAATAGACCTAACCCCTAGCTGAAAAACGAATGTAAAAATAACAGGCAGTCGAGTCTCTGCTAAAATTTATTTAAGGACAAATTTCTTTTACGTTTTTTTCCCCTTTCGAGATCAAGAGAGTTGTATTCTAAGAAATATTTAACTAAAACATGAAATTAATATCCAGTTGTTTTCCGTGTGAGTTTAGTGCGCCTCCGCGCACCTCCCGTTTTAAAGGCTACTGGCACACCCTGACCTGACACGGGGACTAGATCTCTGCACTATTGCCTTTAATTTCACAATTTTCATAATTTCATTGCATTTTTTATATCTAAATTTATATTCTGAAAGTGGTAGGAATGATGGGAGTGTTAGTAATTAAAGACAGAAAGAACTTGAGTGAACTTCTGTGACAGATTATTTTAGTATGATTGATTATTTTAGTATGACTTTTTCATTTGTAAAAAAAAAAAAAAAAAAAAAAAAAAAAAAAAAAAAAAAAAGCACAGATTGCTTCGATCTTATAAACACAA